TACTCATACATACATGTGTGTTGAGAAGGCACTCAAAGTGAGGAGTTATTATGATTTTGCGAGCCACCACCTTTTAAAGCATAGGTGAAAATCTGATGAAGAACATGAAAACCATTTATGACTGTCATTCTTCAGGAATGAAGAGGACGCCGGAGTCACATATCTTGTTACATATATACATATCTTTTAGTATACATGTATATGACTTTGGTTGAGCTTTGACTAGGGTATTTCGGGGTACCAATAGAATAATTAATATTTGCCTAACAAATCATTTTGTTCCCCCCCCCCCCCTCCTTTTTGGCCATCTTTTTCATCACCAAGAATTTAACTCCAAGCAACAAACCACTCGTACACGCTATAAAAACCTACTCCGACGTCAAAAAGCTTTCCACCTTTAAGCCTCGTCGAATTCAAAATCCCAACCCAAAAAGTTAAAACAAAAGGGATTAGGAAGAAGACATGACTCACGCACCTTCCTTTCCTCTTCTTCTATTCTCCTCTCTGGCCATTCTTCTTGCCATTGCTAGAGCAGACGAGAGAGCTCCTCACGGCCTAGTTTACGAGAGTCCAATGGCTTTTTCGCCTGCAGCATTCGACTTCTTCCATCCGAACAGAACAGAGCCTGCCGCTAAAAAACCGGGTGATGAAACCGATCGCTCGTGGCCTCAGGCAGCAAAAGTAGATGCCACAAAAGCACAAGAAGTTACCAAGACATTACCGGCTAGCAAAGGTGGAGGTAGAGTTTCTACAGGAGGAATTGCCGGAATTGTATTTGGTCTTGCAGTTCTGGTGCTACTGTCAATGGGTGTTTATTACGTGCTCGTCGCTCGGCGGACAAATATGGGTCGAGCCAACACTGTTAAACCTGATGTTTGATCCGATCACAAAGGCAGAGACTTTTTTTTTTTTTGCTTGTTTAAATTAAGGTAACTAATCAGTAATGTAGCCCTTGTATTCTATTTGTCATAGTGATGAGACTCATGGAAGTTTGGTGTTAAATCAAGTGTCGTAAAAGTCTTTTAATCCAACAAAAAAAAAAAGAAAAACAGGATCCTAAAAGGTCAAAAAAAGAAAACGTTACAATTATAACAAGCACTTGGGAAATAAAAAATATTATTGATCAAATTATCCTAATAAGATTTTTAATCATGCATGAAGCAACTAATCAAATTTTTAGTTGTTAGATAAAACATAAAATTTATAAATTATGTATTTATACAACTTATAAAGAAAGTAATTAGCATAGAGGTTATTAATAAAAATTACAAATGTTACATAATTTCAAATTGGAGCAATATCCAAACAACTCCACAATCAATTCAAAATTAAACACTATAATTTATGGTCTGTGGTCTGTGGTAAAGAAGTAATTAAATTAATGCGACATGCCGACAAGAAAGGTGCGGGCAATAATTTTTAAAATTTTGGATTTAATAATTAATTAATATTAAAAAAATTAGTGCAATTCTACAGTTGAATTGTTGGTTCATTTAGTTAGTTTTAGTTGAGATAAAAATAAAACAAATTATTAATTATTAATTTCCTCTTCTGCCGTTCCGCGTATTTACGAAGCGGGAGGTGGCGTCAGATAGACGCACCTCGGCTCCTCTATAAAAGGGCCAGAGTCACCCCCTCCTCTCGATTGGATTCCTCTCTGTCCGTCTCTGCTCTCCTGGTCCGGGTAGGTTTCTCTTTTATTCTTCTCCTTCTGATTACGAACTCCCATCTTCTAATCAAATATCATCCACAATCCTCTAGTTTCTGACGATGGTACTGAAAACCAGAAACCGGTATCCAGTCGGTGTGCGAAAAAGGCGGGCTAGGGTTTGAGATCGAGTGGAGAAATTGGAAAAGGGGGACAGAGATTGAAGCGTCGGGGTAATAGATCTAATACAACTCCTTTATTGCAAGGAATGCCCTCTGAAGGTATGTTGATATCCCAATTTGAAGTAGCGTAACAGAACTTCAGATTTTCCGAGGTTTGTTTTTGCGCGAGCAAACATTCTGTGGCTGTAAAAAGTTGTTGTTTATGATGAGCAAGACATGAGAGCATAATTCTCTAGTTTCTGACGATGGGACTGAAAACCAGAAACCGGTATCCAGTCGGTGTACGAAAAGAGGCGGGCTAGGGTTCGAAATTGGAAAAGGGAGACAGAGATTGAAGCGTCAGGGTAATAGGTTTAATACAACTTATTTATTGCAAGAAACAGCCTCTTAAGGTATGTTGATGCCCCAATTTAAAGTAGCGTAACAGAACTTCAGATTTTCCGAGGTTTGTTTTTGTGCGAGCAAACATTTGTGGTTTTGTAAAAGGTTGTTGTTTATGATGAGCAAGACATGGGAGCCTAATTGCGATGTTGGTCACTCTTTCTTGCGGCAGATGTTTATTAGGGTTTCAATGTACAGGTGAGAGACACGGGCCATCAGTTCTGTCTTGCATGTGAGTGTTATGTACGCTTTTACATTCTTCAACACTGTGTTTTCACTTTTGCTGAGTCCTATGACGTATTCATCCCAGGTTTGTCTCTGTTTTGATGTGTATGTGGAAATGAAATTTATTTCTTCTACTCGCATTCTGATACATTTTTGTCTTGAGAAGTTAATTACTCAGGATGGACGCTTTTGAGCGGAATTCGTGGTACTCCTCGCATTCCTTAATCTCGAGGGATTGCACCGTAAGTATGCACCTGGAGTTTCTGCCGCTCTTGGGGTTAAATTTTGGTGAACAACTCATCATAAATAATAGCTGCTAACAATTTTACTTTCTGCCCGGAAACAGTTTAGTTCCACTTTCGCCGTTATCCTCTTTCTTATTGCATATTATTTTCGTAGGTGCAGCTACTTTTATTCCATATTTGTCTCATTGTTGACTCAAGTTTATTTTCCCATAAATTTTTTCTCTGATGCTTCGACAGTGATGTAAAGATCCTCGTCGATTCTTGTGTTTTCTATAGCGAAATAATAGCAAGAATTGGAAATGTCGGTTTCGCACGATATCTAGATATATGCAATTTTGAAATTTCACTTCCATGAGTAGTTACTCTTTGCTTATTTCTTCTAAAATAAAGGCACTCGGTGGATTTGTGCGTGCGGGGCAAGTTTCTTGTAAATGATTGCTAGCTCCACCAGAGTTAAATTTTAATAAATATAGAAATGAAAACAACCAGTAAGGAAGCTAATGGTTTTCGGCAGAAATCAAATTACTCCCCTCCTCCACTCTTCATCCTCCTTGATGGACCCATTGTTTTCTGTTTCTGTTCCATTTCATGTGTCGTTCGCGGTTCTATCATCTGAGTACAAAAATAATCAACACTGTTGTAACCGGATCATGTCTGCTTACGGTGCTTAGTTTTGATGTTAGTTAATCCACTGTGCGACATTCACGGGCTTCTATCAATAGAACTTGATATTTTGTCTCGTCTCTTTGATTTACAGGGACTGTGTCCTGGCGACATCATAGTTTTCATTCAGTCGGCGTATAATTTGCTCTGGTTCAACTGGTATGCAGTATCTATCTTCGCGTATACCTCTTGGTGCTGGATTCAGATAATATGGTATACCTATTTACTCGCATGCTTTTCTTTTTTAACAGTTCATCGTTGCTTTACATCTTTTATTGTCCTGTTGTCGCTGAAGGTCACGATTCTTGGCTTTTCTAACACTTTTATTCCCGCAAGTGAAAGGTGTTTTAAGGATGCATGAAAGAGTTGCCTCATACGGGGGTGTTTATTTTGTGGGAACAGTTGTCCCCCGAAATCTTAATTCTGTTTGGTTACGCAGTCCCTGCAAAGTCATTCCATCCAGAGGGTGCAAGAAAACATGGTTCTCACGCTGGAAAGTAATCATGGTCCAATGATAAAAGTTCTCGTGTTTTTGGTTTTTAGAATAAAAAAAAGGCATAAACTAAATTGTTCATCAACATGTTCCTCGATCACTTGGTAGCGGGTAAACAGCGTGAATATTATGTTGCTGACTTTTCTCTGCTGCCGGTATTTACTAGAGACCTGTTTATGTTGAAAAAATGGAGTTTCTTCCAGTTGCCATCAGTATAACTTGATGTTTTTTCTCGTCTCTGAGATTTACAGGGACTATATCCTGGCAATATCACAGTTTTCAGTCAGTCAGCGTATAATTTGCCGGTTCAAGAGGTATGCGATGTCTATCTTGGTGTATACCTCTTTGTGCTGGATTCAAATAATATGGTATACCTATTTGCTGATACTTTTCTTTTTTGTCGCATTTGAGCAATCATTTGCACGAGGCAGCAGACCACATGTTGAAATATTGCGGGTTTGTAGAAATTGATGGTTCGCGTTAGCTTTGCCAACAAAGTTTTGGTGCTAAAATGTTTCTAGGTCGGTTTTCAAGCAATCCTCTTTTGTTTCACTCCCTTTCAATCATCCAGTTTTTAAGATCTCGGAGTGGGAAGTCTTCGAGGGTTCCTTGTTGCTTTACATCTTTTATTGTCCTGTTGTAGCTGAAGGTCACGATTTTGGGCTTTTCTAACACTTTTTATTCAAGCAAGAGAAGGGTGTTTTAAGGATGCATGGAAGAGTTGCCCCACACAGGGGTGTTTATTTTGTGGGAACCACGTCCCCGAAATCTTAATTCTGCTCGGTTACATCGTCCCTGCAAGGTCATTCCGTCCGGAGGGTGCAAGTAAACATAGTTCTCACTCTGGAAAGTAATCGTGGTCCCATAGTAAAGTTCTCTTGTTTTTGGTTTTCAGACCAAAAAAAAAAAAAAAGGGTGCCTCGCATGTCCATAAACTAAATTGTTCTGGATGCATCAACATGTTCCTCGATTGCCTGGTAGCAGGTAAACAGTGTGAATATTATGTTGCTGACATTTCTTTGCTGCCGGTATTTACTAGAGACTTGTTTAAGTTGAAAGAATGGAGTTTCTTCCAGTTGCTATCGGCACAAACAATGTGTGGCGGCGTGGAATGTGAATATTATGTTATCCTGAATTTTGTTGAAAAATGTTTCTGCATATAAAAATTATAATATAAAATTTGCGAATTTAATGTAGTTTCATATAAAGATTAACTGTGCGTGACGATCGTATTATGGATAATTAACGACATTGTGCCATCTTTAATATTGCAGTATTAATAAAATTACGAAAAACATTATGTTTGCATATTTGAGAATTAGATGATACTTCAAATAATCTTTAAGATCTCATAGTCTCCCCTAAAAGCTGAAGGTCATTATTTTTGGCCCCGTCCAAACTTCTGTTGTAGTTAAGGGAAAGGTTTCAAGGATGCATGGGATGCTTGCCCCGTACGGGGGGTGTCCGTCGTGTGGGAACCATGCTCCCATAATCTCGATTCTGTCTGGCTCTCACAGTCCCTGCAAAGTCATTCCATCCAAAGTGCATAAAGAAACGTAGTTCCCACGTTGGAAACTAATGATAGTGCCCAGTATTATGTTTATTACGGGTTATTGTTAATTTATTGTGTGATGTGTCTGGGAGTCGCATCAACATATGTCTTGATCCCCCTTATCTTGTTCTCTGATTTACAGGGACCACATTCTGACAAGATTATAATCCTCGTTCGGTAAGGGTATGGATTGCTGGTTCAAGAGGTATGGAATATCTATTTTGCACTCGTATCTCTTGGTGCTGGATTCAAATATTTTTCTTTTGAAATAAAAAGTTACATATGCGCGTATTAATACTGTTTGCCAAGGGGTTACTGTGCATTTACAAAATTTTTGCAAGTCTGCTAGACTGAAATAATGTAACGTAGACAAATTGGTTGTATTTGAGCAATCATTCGTTAGAGGCAGCAAGCCACATCTCGAAATATGGCAAAGTTTTTAGAAATCGATGCTGCGCGTCTACTTTACCAGCAAGTTCCTATGTTGGTTTTCAGGTAATTCTCTTTTGTTTCACTCCCTATTAATCATCTTTAAGATCAGAGAATGGAAGTCCTCGGCTTCCTTGTCCCCCACATCTTTTAGTCTCCTCTTAAAGCTGAAGGTCATTATTTTTGGCCTGTCCCAACACTTTTGTCGTAGTTAAGAGAAAGGTTTCAAGGATGCATGAGATGCTTGCCCCGTACAGGGGTGTCCGTCGTGTGGGAACCATGCTCCCATAATCTTGATTCTGTCTGGTTCATAGTCCCTGCAAAGTCATTCCATCCAGAGTGCATGAAGAAACATAGTTCCCACGCTGGAAAGTAATCTTGGTCCAATAATAGTGTTCTCTAGTCGTTTGGTCTTGAGACTAAAGAGAATGTGCCTGGATCTTCTGACTGCAAGTAAATATTTTTGGGTGTTGTTTTAAGTTTTTTGCTTCTTTTGTTAAAAAATACTTTTTTACGGTGTTGCGGTCTTGAAAGTAAGGGAGCCTCAAATTTTTACTTATAAACTGCAAGCATGTTTTAGAATTTTTGTTTTATTTATTTATTTATTTAAAATAAACGCGCTTGATGAACAAGAAAGTGTTTCTTTCTTGAGAAAATGTAAATCTGGTCTGGTCCCTCGGGTAGCACCAACTGTGAGAGAATGTGTCTTGAACATTTGATTCCCTAGTAAATATGTTCATGTTTGTCGCTTCGGAAGTGAAAGCTATCATGATGGGCACCCTCTCTCCCTTAGACGTTGCGATGGATTTCCTAGTATGTGATAGCCATGGACAAAAGATATGTGTGCTCGGTTATGGGGACTGTCAGATTTAGTTTATTCGAGAAAGGTTGTTGATATGTGTTTTGAAGCTTGACTTACGAAATATAGTTGGGGGAGGATCAAAATTGGCCGGGTCTCTTGAGTAGAAAACATTATTTATGCGGCCCTTGCATTCATAATGAATGTTGTATTTGAGATTCTCGGCCCAAAACGTAAGAGGTTCAATTCCATATTAAATACCTTTCAAAGCCAATATTTCATTTGGAAAGTTAAAGGTTGTTGATATGTGTTTTGAAGCTTGACTTACGAAATATAGCTGGGGGAGGATCAAAACTGGCCGGGTCTCTTGAGTATAAAACATTATTTATGCGTCCCTTGCATTCATAATGAATGTTGTATTTGAGATTCTGGGTCCAAAACGTAAGAGCTTCAATTCCATATTAAATACCTTTCAGTCCCAAAATGCTAGGAAAGCCAATATTTCATTTTGAACGTTAAAGGTTGTTGATATGTGTTTTGAAGCTTGACTTACGAAATATAGTTGGGGGAGGATCAAAGCTGGCCGGGTCTCTTGAGTAGAAAACATTATTTATGCGTCCCTTGCATTCATAATGAATGTTGTATTTGAGATTCTCGGTCCAAAACGTAAGAGCTTCAATTCCATATTAAATACCTTTCAGTCCCAAAATGCTAGGAAAGTCAATATTTCATGTTGAAAGTTAAAGGTTGTTGATATGTGTTTTGAAGCTTGACTTACGAAATATAGTTGGGGGAGGATCAAAATTGGCCGGGTCTCTTGATTTTTCTGCGGCCCCCCCTGCATTCGTAATGAATGTTGTGTTTGAGATTCTCGGTCCAAAATGTAAGAGCTTCAATTCCATATTAACTACTTTTCAGTCCCAAAATACTCGCAAAGCCAATATTTCATTTTGAAAGTTAAAGGTTGTTGATATGTGTTTTGAAGCTTGATTTATGAAATATAGTTGGTGAAGGATCAAATTTGGCCGGGTCTCTTGAGTAGAAAACATCATTTCTGCGGCCCCTGCATTCGTAATGAATGTTTTATTTGAGATTCTCGGTCCAAAATGTAAGAGCTTCAATTCCATATTAACTAACTCTTACCTTTCAGTCCCAAAATACTAGGAAAACCAATATTTCATTTTGGAAGTTAAAGATTTCAAAACAAACTTACGTGCCTCGGTGCATAAGAATGCGAATCTTGATTTTTGGTGGCAAAATGCAACTGCTTGCATCCCTCAAGTCGTGCTACCTCAAAAATATGTGGCTTAAAATCTGGATCCAAAGTTTTGGTGTGTCGGTTTGAAAGTAAAAGTTTCTTTGATGACACACTGTTTGTTTTGGACAGTTGGGCGACCCTTCATGCTTAGCTATGGCAATATGCTTTCCCAACCTATTCTTAGCATGGACAGAAAAGTTTGATGCTAGGGTTAGGGGAATTGTCATTGTATGTGAGGAGGGTTGCCGTTCTTCGTTTTGAAGCCACATCGATAATCTAGATGCAGCGTTTTAACTAATTCTTTTAAAATAGACGTGCCTCGGTATTTAAGCCAAAGTTTTTCTGTTTTATGGGGAAAAGTAAAATTCCTCCGTTCTCTCGGTTGGTTGGAACGTGAAAAGAAATATGCCGGGATCTTTTGATTGCAAGTAAATATATATATATATATATTTTTATATGTGGTTTTAAAGCTTTTTGGCTTTTGTTAAAACATGTTTTTTTTTTTTTTTTAAATAGAAAAAAATTGTTGTCTTATAGCTTCCTGTTTTGGAAGTGTCCTGGTTTGGGAAGTAGAGGAGACTCGATTCATTATCTAAAACCTAAAAACTGTTTTTATGTGTTATTTATAGATAAATGTGACTTGATGCACAAGAAAATGAATTTCGATTTCTTGGGGCAATGTAAATCTGCTTCGGTCCCTTGTGTAGTTCCATTTTTTAGAAAAGCTTGCATAGAGACAGATTCAAGGAGATTGTGACGACACCACTTCAGATGCGGTAATTTGCTTTCCTTGTATATGATAGCCATGGATAGAAAAGTTGTATGCCCGATTGCGGGAAGTGTCATATTTAGTTTACATAAGATAGAGGAGATATGTTTTGAAGGTCTGAAACTCGTGATCTTTTGCTACGAAAATATATAATTCTAAGTCCCGTATTCAGAAAGTAAAAGGCCTCAGTTAATCTTTTTGAAAGAGAGGGTGTCCATTTATTTTTCGAAAATAATTTTTTTTTTTGCTGGTCCCTGAGCAAACGTTCCTCAGTTTTTTGGGGCAATGTGAGATTTAGCTGGTCCCTTGGATAAAGTTTCTTGATCTTTTGCTTTAAAAATAAATCTACAGGTGTCCCGGCTGGAAAAGTAAGCGGAGCTCAAGTAGTTTTTTAGAAACTGAAAGCGTGTTCTATCGATTATTTAAAAGATAAATGTGCCTTGGTGCAAAAGAAAATGACTTTGGATTTGCTGCAGCAGAGTAAAACTTTTTTGATGCCTTGGGTTTTCGGAACTCTAAAAGTTGTGGTTTGGACTTTTGATTCAAAGCAAGTATTTTTCAGAATATGTTGGTTTAAAGAAAAAGTTACTGTGATGACACCCCTTCTTTTGGAGAGTTGGCAACCTTTCTCTTTATATAACTGCCAGTGTCCGTTCTCAATCATTCATTGCTGCGGACGAAAGACATAGATGCTCTTATTTGAGAAAGGTCTTTGTTCTTGATTTTGAAGCCAATTTAATGGACTTCAGTAAAAGTGGCTGAATTAATTGTTTCGCAAATGAGAGTGCTTTGGTTTATTATTGTTTCAAAATAAATGTACTTTGACGTCCAGGCAATGGATTTTCAATTTCTTGGGAGAGAGAGTAAAATTCGCCCCATCGCCCGGCTTGTTGGAACTCAAAAACAGTATGCGTGGACGTTATTTGTTCGCGAGTTAATATTTTTGGTATGCTGTTTGTTTGTTGCTTTTGTTTAACAATAATTGCTTACGGTTGTCCCGTATGGAACGTGTCCAGGCTTGGAATGCAAGAGAGCCTCAATTTATTATTTTGGAGCGTAAAAGTGTGTTGTTTCAATTGCCTGAAACAAATTACCTCGATGGATAAGAATTTTTTTTTTTTTTTTTTTTGTTTCTTTGTTGGGGCAATTGAAATCTTCTCCGGTCCAGTTCTAGTTGTAGAAAACGTGCGTTGAGCTTTTGACTCAACGAAAACACGTTTCTGTATGTGGGTTTGAAAGTAGGATCCAATTTGATGGCATGATTCCTCTTAAGAGGTTTGAGAATCTGCAAGTAAAAGCTATCATGTGCGCGCTATTGCTCTTAGAGATTTGGATATTCGTCCTCCTAATCTTTTAGGGCCCCGGGCTAAAGATGTGTGGGTTTGGTTATGGTATCTCACAGTTTATTTGAGGACTTTTGCTGTTTGTTTCTTTCATATCTTATCACACAAACTACAGACTTGTATGCTTAGTGTTGTGTTACTTTTACAAGAAAGATTGTTCTGTTTATCTCCATTTCACCCTACATATTAAGACTTGGTGGAAAATGATGTCATTTTGATTTCTTAGGCCCAAAGTACTTGCAGCTTACGTTTGTGTCTCTACTTGGGTGTGCCATTATCTTTCTTCTTGGTTCGCTGGTAGGTTATACGAAAAAATTTTAATTCTTGAAATTGGTGAGCTACCGTACATGTCCGGGTTACAACGAATGCCGCCGTTAAGTTACCAATATTTGTAACCTACAACTTTGCACCAAACTTCAGCAGTGTCAGTTGATCTCTTAGACTTTTGTACGTTTACTTTTTCAAGTTTTTCGTTTAAAATCTTTATCTAGCGGCAATTCAAGGATTAATATAGAGAGTGGAATATTTTACTTCAAATACTTGGAGAGTAACTATATGCTGTATTTGTCTTGGTTCTAATCACTGTAGTAACGCAGGTCATCTTCATAAATTTAGCGAGAAAACTATTTGAAAGAACTAAACCTTCGAAGTATATCTAAGTAAAACTTCATCTTGTAACATCTTTTTTCTTTCTCCTTTTTGTGTAAGCAGTATCTGTGGTTAAAAGGGATTGATACGCTTTAATATGCAGGACAACTACGAAGCTTGGCATAACGGCGACAATATTATGTTGCTGACTTTTCTTTGCTGTAGGTATTTACTGGAGACTCGTTTGAGTTGAAAAAATGGAGTTTCTTCCAGCTGCTATCTACACAAACAACGTGTGCTGCGCGGAGTGCGAGTATTTTAGAATTAGATAATACTTCAAATAATCTTTAAGATATCATGATGGAAGTCCTCAGCTTCCCTGTCCCCCACGTGTTTTGGTCTCCCCTTAAAGCTGAAGGTCATTACTTTTGGCCTGTCCATGCTGTCGCTGTGGTTATGAGAGAAAGGTTTCGAGGATGCATGAGATGCTTGCCCCGTACAGGGGCGTCCGTGGTGTGGGAACCAAGCTCCCATAATCTTGATCCCGTCTGGTTCATAGTCCCTGCAAGGTCATGCCATCCAAAGTGCACAAAAGAAACATAGTTCCCACGTTGGAAACTAATGATAGTGTTCGGTATTATGTTTATTACCGGTTACTGTTAATTTATTGTGTGATGTTGGTGGGAGTTGTGTCAGTGTGTCTTGATCCCTTTTCTTGTTCTTTGATTTACAGGCACCATATTCTGACAATAATAAAATCCTCGTTCGGCAAGGGTATGGATTGCTGGCTCAGTGGGTATGCAGTATCTATTTACACTCTGTGTCTCTTGGTGCTGGATTCAAATATTTTTCTCTTGGAGTAAAAAGGTACATGTGTGTATTAATATTGGTTCCAAGGGGGTACTGCGCAATTGCAAAATTTTTTTACAGGTCTGCAAGATTCAAATAATGGGAGGAGTAGTGCAATTTGGCGTGCGGCCAAAACGTTGGCTTGGCAAGGGCTCAGTTTGAAAGGTGAGAAAATGAGCAGAAAGGATAATTTAGTAAATTTTCTCACTGAACTGTTTCTACTTAATAGATTTGTACTCTCGGCCAAGGAAGAAGTGCCAAATCACTTCATAACATTAATATGTTACTTTTTATTTTTAATTCTAAAAAATAGAAAAAGATACCATGTGATATTTTTCAGTATTTATATGCATACATATTTCATTATTTTTTATTTATAATAATGAAATTTATAAAGTGTAAGTAATTAGTATGGAGTATTTGTATGTTTCAGTAGGTTATTAATAAAAATTACATCGAAACAACTCCACAATCAATTCAAAATAAACCAAACATAAAAAATACAAAGCCACCATTACAAAATTAGACATATGATCGGAGCTACTCTAACTAAGCATCTAGTATATAAATTATGGAACACTTAGATATGTCAACAAGTAAATCTAAGAAGTGGATGATAATGGTATATATTTAAGTCAAATTAAACACTATAATTTATGGTCTGTGGTAAAGAAGTAATTAAATTAATGCGATATGCCGACAAGAAAGAGGCAGGCAATGAGCTAACATTTTAATTATGCATATTAGGGCTAATATGAATAGAACAGCTATGAGCTAACTAACAATTAACTGATAAATGAACCACATACAAGTTAAGTACAGTTTGCAGCTAGCAATATCCGCATGCGTAAATATACTTCAATACTAATTAACAATGTATCATATCAAACAAGCATGTGATAAAATCAGACTCATCATGTAATGATAATATTGCTTCAATCATGTACTACAATTGCCCAATAAGTAAATTTAAATATCTCAACAGCAATAACTTGTGGGGAAAAGAAAACAGCAGTCAACATTTATCAAGGTTTCTTACCTGTTTCCCAGGCGGGAGCATGTTTTCCCAGTAATTCAGAAATAAAAGGTAGACAATACAAATGTGTCCAACAAGTACGAATGTCACAAGAATAGTTATGTGAAAATATTTATAAAGAAGTTACTCCATTTCTACCATCTACGTGAACTAAGAGATGCAATTACAGGTCCCAGTGTCTGGTCCACAGTTCTGTTCCACAAGCACGCAATCTCTGAGCGAAAACTCTCTCCCAATATTGCCTCTCTTCTCTGAAAGAAGTCCAGAGTTAGAATTTCAACAACTTAATGCCATGTAATGCAAAAAAAGAAAATAAAAAGAATAACACACACCAAAATTACATGTAAAGCAAAATATTAGCATTGATTCATTATTTTTTCAGCCAAACTCACAAGATATCTTTTCAAATTTATTAACTTCCAATTTTTAGTTTCATTTGGTTGTGACGAGGAAAACACTTCAACCAAAAAAAAAAATACTATTACTTGTTAAAAACATGCTGATATTAAGAGAAAACATAGTGTTTGATAACCTGTAGTCTGTAAAGTAGTGATGAAGATGCTGTCCTAATATTTGCGTTTAGTAAGAATACTGCTTCTAAAGAGTTTGTGGAAATATATTATAATCACATTGTATTTCAGGAAAGAAATTTGTCATTTAGGAAATCAAATATGTTATATATATATATATATATTAGATGATTTTTTACTAAAATTTATGTGTATTTAAAAAGTATAGAAAATATTCATTCTTGCTTTCTTTAAACGTAAAATTTTTTGGTGATGATCTTTCCCTTGACTCTCATGCATGAATGGGTCTGTAGTCTTAGGATATTGGCAATGTAGGCTTTCTTACAGTCTTGGCAACACTATTTGCAACTTACTGCAGATAATAAGATCATAGGAGGGATGTGAAATTTCCTACTTATAAAATATCATCAAAGCACCAGAGAGACCCATTTACAAAAGAATGAGTTACAAATTAATCAAATATGAACAAAGACCCGTAAATCTTCCTCCAAAGAGGTTAACCCTAAAACAAAAAATAAAGGTCCCAGAACCAGCAATTGACAATCTTAGCGAAGGGAGAACACAATCCCAGGTAAGTTCTTCCTTTGGACAACAGGATGGGATCAAGAAACTTCTTATGGACTATAACAGCTTGGATACCTTGTCAAGCCCAAACCTAAAAAGAAATTTAAACTCCCCTCTGCGCACATCAGATTGAGGAATTTCAAGTCTGTATTCTATAACTGGATATCGAAAGGCACCAGAAGAGCAGCTAATGAGGTGTCTTAACTTCCCTCAGAAACAATAAACATCCGTTGACCCACATCTCCCTTCTCTTTCTTATATTGCCAAATGTCAAATTTCCCCTATTGTGGTGCCTACCAGGTGAGAATTGCAAGATTCAGGAAGGCAATTTTCTTTTCAAGGTTGCTTCCAAGGGAACAAACCCTGCCAGAGAGGTGATGAGAAAATGATTTCACATTGATGGCCTCTCTCTTTCTCAAACACCTAACAAATGCTCTTCATGACTAGGAGACTCTTGATTTTCTTTTTTCTTTTATACGGAAAAGAGGAGAGAACTGATATAAAACACCAACGTCTATGCATAATAGGTAAAACCAGAAAAATTCACTGTAAATATTAAGCACGTGAAATTAAGATAAATAAATATACAAAATTCAAAAAAAGAAGTGATATCAAGTAGCTGAAACTTGGTTGAAAAGCAAGTAGCTCTTGCTTTGGTGGAGAAATCAAGCAACTCTGACTTGGTAGAAAATTCACTATGACTTTATTGGAATTATAAACCTTGTCACTTGAGTTGGTGACTTGTCACTAGATCTAGTGAAGCCAAATTCAAAATATAAGCAGAGCCAAACACCGTCTAGTTCACTTAGAATAAAATAAAACACACTTTAAGATCCATATCTTACAAATACAAAGCTAATGAAGGTACAAACAATGGTCACTTATAGAAAGTTTTCACTCTAACATCATAAAGCAGAATATCAATCCAATAATTACGAACTAACGCAAAACAAACAGGAAAAGATCAATCTCTAGGGTTTAATATTAAAGAAGCACAAAATTCAACTTCCACCTCTTAACATTCAGAATCAAACCTGAGATTTGGCGGCGACCTGAGGCTGACTATCCGAAATGGACTCGTATATGCGTTTGCGTTGTTCAAAAACGACGATCCCGGCGAACGCGCTTCCCAATGCAGCGCCAAGAAGACGCTCCTGCAAATTCACAAAACTAAGCACTTCACAAATAATTTTGAAGAAACTAAACGAAATTAAAAGGTGAACAGAGCATCAATGTAATGAAAATTCAAAAAAGAAAGAAAAAGAAGAATCGAGAGATTAACGTAAGATTTAATTGATGATCACCTGAGCGAGAATGCTAATCATTGTATTTGTTTTCGCCGCTTTTACCAAATTTTAGAAATGGAGGGGAATGATGGGTTTTTCTTTTGGATTGCTAAGCGCCTATTTTTCTTAAGCTTGTTGGTCCAAATAAGGCTCAACTTTAGGCCCACTTTCTGGCCGAACTGAGCCCAATCTGAGATCCAATCTAATGCCCAATTCGATGTCCAATTTAAGCCCCATTTGAGGCCCAATTCGACCCCTATTCGATGCCCAATTTACAGTATGAGGCCCACATTAAGGCCCATTTTACCTGATTTGAGTCCAATTTGATGCCCAACTCAAACCCAAATCACCCCTGTTTAAAGTACACTTTTGACAAAATTTGAGGCCCAATTAAAAGCCCACTTAACGACCCAGTTTGAGGCCAACTCACAGCTCACTTGAAGGCCCAACATGAGGCCCACTTAACGGCTCAATTTAAGGCCAAATTTTGAGGCCCAATCACTAAATATATACAAATAAGTACAAATTCTGACATCACCGCAATCCACTTAGTTTTCTCGCTCTGCCCCCCCCCCCCCCAAAGAAAAAAAGAAAGAAAGACTGATTCTTACTCTTCCAATTCAGAAAAATGGAAATCGTTAGTTAGGTTGGTCCAATCAATAAAGTAACGAGAGTCTTTAGGCATTGTTGGGGCTACTAAGTCAAGCTTGGGTCAAATTAAGTAAAGACTGACTACCTCTCTCACTGCACACTTTATATATATCTCTCATCTCATATGGGCATGAATGGCTTGGCTTGAGATTGGAGAATTCCCTTCCTCGCTCATCTTATTGAAAAAGTTTCACAAGGGGCATGCTAACACTAGGAATTGCAATTTGCTTTTTCCTACTACAGGCATTAGATTCTGCTTTCACCACTAATAGATAAAAGAGAGATACAAAGTAAGATGATAGCTGATAGCCCTGCTAACTCGTCAAAGGCTTAAGGCATTAAAAGAATCGCTTGTAGATCGATACGCCCCTTATGAATGAAAAAATAATTTTTAACTGACTCTCTCCTTGGATTTATGTGCTCCTTTGCTATGGATCCATATATTAAGGACTAGGGGGGGATATAAAAGGGAGCTTGTGCCACTAAGGAAGAGAAGGGGTTGATTTGAGGTCCGATTTACGGTCCAATTAGAGTCCAATTTAAGACCAGTTTATGACCTAATCTAGGACCAATTTGAGCCAATATGGCGCTCAATTTACAACAAAAATTAAGGTCCAATAAATGGCCCAATTTATTAACCAAACTGAGGTCCAATTTGAGGCACAATTTGAGCCCAATTCCAAGCCCAACTTACGGCAATATTTGAGGCCCAATTTGATGCGCAATTTTATGGCCCGATTCCCATTTCATGCAATTTTTTCACCATTGTAATCACCATTCTATTTTCTACAGGTTGACCGAAGAAAAACGCTCAACCGCGAATGTGAGTCGGCAGAACCGCCGCACCGAAAAATTTCGCAACTGGTGGGTGTTTGTTTTTTGATTTTTTTGGGCCAACCGAGGCCCCTTAACGTATTTTTTCGCAGGGATGAGTATAAAACCAGCTGAAATCGACTAAAACTAGCCGAAAATGATCAGTTCGAGGCAAACCGCCGCCGTAGGCAATGGTGTCGTTGTACCATAATTCTAAAATTTTCCATAAAAAGTTTTTAACACTGATTTTGAATTTTTTGGGATATTTCTAAATACTTGAAGCGTATTTTAATCCCCGAAAAAAAAATCATGGAATTCGGAGACTGCTAGTAGGCGCAGCTAAAGGTTTAGTATTTCGAACACCAATTTGGGTAAGAATCCATCACCTTATTCTCTGTTATGAAATTAAAGTGTAATTATAAATAATACAGTATTTTGCATGATTTAGAAAACTTCGATAATTAATTACATGTTACTAATGGAGGCAGAACTAGTTATTTATTACTGTTTGTTTTGTTTTAACTAATTGTTTTATTTTACAGTTTTAAAAACATGATAATACACTAGAATTGGTAAGATGATTCGGTTGTGTTTTCTTAATGCATGTATTACTTGTCTTGCGTGATTTAAAGTTAAATTGTGAAACTGAAAATTAAATATAAACGAAAATTGCTTGATTACGTGAATGAATAAATGGTACCCTTATTGGATATTCTGAAAAATGGTGGATGGACCAAGTAAATAGGAAACTCTACTGTGAACGTCGCCTCATACCAGACGGGGTATCGAGAATTGGTATTTTTATGCTCATACCGGACGGGGTATAGGGACGACCCGTTTCACCCTCATACCGGACGGGGTATTGAGGGGATGGTATCTTTGGCGCTCATATCGGACGGAGTATGGAGACGGCCAGTTAGTTAATAATGTTGAATAATGATCCACGCGTAGTGGGGACATCCTTATGGACCCCCATGGATACCAGTAGGTAGATAAAAAGGAAAAGTTGTTATTTTTATTTATTTGAATATGAAATTATGATATTGTTGAGTTATTGTCCCTATAGGTCGGTTTTGAAAATCTCATTACGGTAAGTATGCAATAAATGATTTTATTTATGATAAACGAATTTACTTAAATTAAGAGATCTATTAATTATTTTTATGATTTTTACCAACCTTTATTTCTGTATCGGTGAATAGTTTGACATTCTTACTGGACTATTGTAGCTCACTATTTCATTAACTATTTCAGATTAAGAGGACCAGGATCCAGATCCAGATTTACAAGATAGTTGCGAATAGAATGCCCAACTGTTTACTTTTCATTTATTTCTTTAATTTTTCGTTTGTCATTTTAAAAATGTCATTCCCATAACATTATTGGTATTTTAAATTATTGTGTAAGAAATGTAAACTCTAACTTTATTATTTTACTTATTTATGATTTTGTTTCATTTCAAGTTTCGGGTTGTTACATAACTCAACTACCGATGTATAAAAATCAAATTGTTATAAAATTAGAAAAATACTATTCAATTATAACAAAACTATTAGAAAGTAAATTGCTAACTTAATTATTTCATAATTTTACTGAACTACTTAATAAATTATTTCATCTATTTTTGAAAAATATATCTCGAAATATCATAGTTCTATAAAAAATTTTATTATACATATTTTTTTAACAAAAAATTATATATTTTATTAATTAAATAATATATACACATAAATTATAATACAACATTATAACTAAATCCATATTGTAATATCAGAATACAACGAGTAAAAGTAAGAAACAAAAATGATAATTGCAAGATGTAGTTTTTACAAGGTGTTGCAGAAAGAAAACAAGAGCATTATGATTTGCATGTGATGATACCAGAAGCAGCAAGACAAACAATTGTTTTGCCTCATTAAAAAAACATAGGGTTCGACTTCTGAGATTACATGAGAAAATTTAGATATACTTGATTTTTCTTCTTGCTTTTTGGACTCTTTGTTATTTAATGCTTGCTTTCAAGAATCTGTTGAATAAGACCTCAAAAATTTATTGCATGGGTTGAAACTATAATAAGCATTAATAATTAGTTTTTGCAAAAGCTTAAGCTATTATATAATTGCTTATATTCAATATTAATATAGATAATTGGTTAAATGTTACGCAGTTCCAGAGCTTAAAAGCTATTTTATCCTCAGCTTCAATTACTAGCTTGCAAGGCATGATCAGCTTTATTACTGGTTTTTTCTTATTTATCTCTATCTCTCCCCTACTACTTTTGCCTTTTGTTCTTGTAGTTAATGTTTTGGTTCTACATTCTGTCAAAACTCAGAAGTGACTCTTCTTTTGAATCGGTTTCTACTTTGCAATAAAAAAAAGACCTGTTATGTCATTTCTTATTATCATTTTCTTGTTCCATTTTCCTTTTGTCATTTGGTCAATTTCTGGGGTTCTAAGAAATTTTATTGAGAAAAATGGGAAGTCAGAAATTTTTGAATCCAACCCAGTCAAAATCTTTCTGAACAAAACCAAGGAATTCAATTTTTTTTTTCCATTAGAAATTACGTTGGTTGATGGGTAATATTAACTTTACATGACTGCAGGTAGTAGTAGTATCAGCTTTTTCATATTCTTTTTACGGGAATCTTTTGGGATTTGAAATTTTGGTTTTCTCCTGCCAAATGGAATTTTTCTTTGTGAGCTTTCTCGAATTTTTTTACGGAGATTAAACATAGTTCACGTACCTAAAAATAGCCCAAAAACTCAAAATCATTATTAAAAATTCATTTTCGGTCAATTTTGGGATTTCGGCACGGCAGCACCTCCGTGCTCCAGCGACGACACCACTGCCCACGGCGGTAATTTGCCTCGGCCAGACCATTTTTGGCCAGTTTTGGTCGGCTTCGGTCGATTTTATATGTATCTCTACAAAAAAACACATTAGGAAGTCTCGGTTGACTGAAAAAAATAAAAAAATAAAAACCTACCGATGATGGAGTTTTTGAGTGCGGCGGCTCCGCTGGCTCATCTTCACAATTGGGATTCCTTCTCCAGTCAACCTGCAAAAAAATAGAACGATAAATACAACCGTAGAAAAATCGCATGAAATAAAAAACGGGAAGAGGCTCATCGGAGGAGGTTAAGAGTTTTGCTTATGGCGGCTCCACCGAACTTTACCCGCAGTTTTCGACTCACCCGTTATTCGTTTTTCTCTTATATGGCCACAAGGGTTCTCGAAATCGAATTCCAAGCGGGTAGGAGAACTTTTATCTTTTTTGACGGTCGGAGGTGGCTCCGGTGCGGCAACAGTCGGCGGTCGGCTCCCTTCTCCGGCGTCTGGTTCTTCTTCTCTGGTGGGAGGCTGGCAGCTAGGATTCAGGTTCAATGTGATGCGAAATATTTATACCCATATCACTTTAATCTGGGCCGGCCATCACGATTGATCTCGTCCGTCCGGTTGCGTCTAAGGCATCGCGTTTGATCTTGACCGTCTGATCGCGCCTAAGGAGAAAACAGATTCGGACCATCCATGCACGCAGGATCGCTCATGGGTCGTCCGATCGCAAGGCACGTGGATCATCACCGTGGCCTCCTGCGTGGTACCGAGTCAGCGTGTTTTGTCACACAGCGCACTCCAATTCGTCGAGACTGCTGATTGGGCGGTCTTACATGGCCAAATTTTCCTTATTTGCACTCTGACCCTCCTGTTCTAATTTTTCTTTAAAAAATACCTCTATAACCTAAATTTCTACCAATTTTTACCAAAATTGTTTTTAATCTCATCCTTAATTTATTTTTTTCCATAATTCCACGCCAAATTAAAATAAATTAATTTCAAAAATAAATTTTTATACATTTTAGAATGTTAAAATTGATCCTGCGCCAAATTCCGGACCCGAGTATTACACTTTTCTTCTTTCATTTAATCACCCTAATCAATGTCTTAATTTAATCGTTATAATAAATGAAAACATATAGTTTAAACTTATTAGCAAAGTTTTTAAATTATGTATTGATCAATCATTAATTCTACAAGTATTTAATTACACTCAATATCCTTTCAACTATAATTCTATGATTACAGGTGTTTCGAATCAAAGTATGACAAATGACTTATTAATTACTATGACAATCTCATGTCAAAGAAAATTATTATATCTCATCATTTTACAATTGATAGCTTAAGAAAATATTAATAATTATGAATTCTTAATTGAGTTAGTTCAATTATCATATCTTTATATGCATAATCTATGTATGTGATTTAGTTAATGAGATTAACTAATATTTATCTTATAGATACCATAAAATATATATTAATCTTATAAGATCATTAATATCATATTTTGATGATCAAACGACCAAGATCATTTTAGATTAAATCATAAAAAATTTTACTCTAATTATTAAGATCTCCACATTGATATAAAGCCTGTAAATTTAATAAATAATTTTATCATATAAATTAAACAACACCATAATAAATATGATAATAAAAATATTATTTTTATATATTAAAATAAACTATCAAATTAAAATGTATTCAATATATTATACGAATAATTAAATATTGAATATAACAATTATATCTTTAATTACCTATTTTCTTTTATCTCCTGAAAAACCTATATATATATATATATATGGTTGTAATATTCAATTAAAATTCAATTATTCTCAGCAATATAAAAATACATTTATTGATTCTCTCTGTAAGTAGGTTTAAAAATAAATCTCTGAATTCTCTTTATAATCACTTTTTTTTTTTTTGGAGCTTATGAAAGTTGGAGAAGAGATTCTGGAGTTGGCATTAAAGTGTTTTGGGTATTTCTCCAAACAGGCCATTGCAGAAAGGTGTCGTTGAAGAGTTGGAGGGAGAATTTGGTCATTTCAATTCTCAATTTGATGTCTGTTTTAATTTCTTGAGTTGAATTTGAATTTGTAATAATTATACTTTTACCCAATTAATTGGTTTTGTAATTATTTAAAACATGGAAGGAATTTATTTTCCAACGAAAATATTGTGGGAGTTCCATATCTTTAGAGTTATAATTATTATTTTATATATTCTTAAATAATACAAAGAAAATAAAAATAAAAATAAAAATAAAAATGAGAAGCAATGGTTTTTCTGAGAGAGGGAAATAAGATTTTTTTTTTGGTTATTTGAATAATTAAATATTAAAAAAATAAAAAATGGGTATTATAATTCCATAAATATAATTCATTAAAAATAATTAATAGTATGATTTATTAATAAAATTATAAATTAGCAATGAAATATAAAAGAGATAATTTTCTCCTAAAATTTTTTACAACTTTTCTCTTTTTTTTGTTCTCCTACTTGGGAAAAATTTTATAAAATAAATAAATAAATAATAATAATAACAAGAATCATCCATTGAAATAAAATATAATAAATACTTGTCAAAATCAATTAATAAATATGCGTTAAGAGTCTAACCCACAAAAAACGATTCAAGCAGGAAACGACGTCGTAGTGTTCTCGTCCATCGTCTGCACTTGCAGTGCCATGTGAATCTCGGTTTTGTTTAAGCTTTAAACTCGCTTCGCTCTCAGATCTCGCTTCCCCATTTCTGTCACTTCTGAGTCTTCCATTTCCAACTTGGCGAAACAATGGCGAGTCGCCTCGCTCTCGTTCTCTTGTTCACCACTCTCCTCCTCTTCTCTGCCATCTCTCCTTCTCTCTGCAAGCCCGAGAAAAGCGACGCCGTTGATGACGACGATGAAGATCTCAGTTTTCTCGAGGAGTCCGATGACTCTGCTCGAAACAAGGCTGCACACCACTACCCTGACGCGGATCATTCAGAGGAAGAAGACGGAGTTGACGAGGACGATCTGGATAACTTCTCGGATTTCGACGAGTCAGAATCGGATCTGTACCAGCAGCCGCAGGTGGACGAAAAGGACGTCGTCGTTTTGAAGGAGAGGAACTTCAGTGATTTTATTGAGAACAACAGGTTCGCCATGGTGGAATTCTACGCTCCGTGGTGCGGACACTGCCAGGCGTTGGCTCCGGAGTATGCGGCGGCGGCTACGGAGCTCAAATCGGAGGGCGTGGCGCTGGGTAAGGTTGACGCCACCGAAGAGAACGAGCTGGCTCAAGAGTACGATGTGCAGGGATTCCCTACCGTCTACTTCTTCATCGATGGCGAGAAAAGGCCTTACACTGGCGCTAGGACCAAGTAAGTAGTGTAGATTTCTTTTGACTATGCTTATTTTTATTCGTTCACGAGTGGAAATAGATTGGTTCAAACTGATATCAGCTAACTGGTGTTAGCTTCTCGTGAGTCTCTGAAATGTTTGAATTAAGCGGACCGCTTCAGTGTTGTGGGGTTGTGTTGATGCAAGGATCTATTGAATTTAGTTTAGATTAGGTATTTCGATGTTTGGATTTTAGTTTCATTATGGGGTTTTAGGACTTCAAATGCTGATTTTGGCTTACATCCAATTTCGGATGTTTAACTGTTGTTTCTTTTTAGTGGTCGAGAAGATGTACTGAGAGAAGACGTTAAAAGTTCCAAATGTTGCTTTAAATCGTCTAATCACGTCTTTGCTTTGGCATTTTGTGACATGCATAACTACCTTTATGGTTTTCGGTTCCAATACTTAAAAAGTGTGGATGGAGTTTACTTGTTGATATATGTGAAGATTAGCTTTTGTTATTTCCCTTAAAAATTTGTTGGAGTCTTCTATATGCAAGGGACTGATGGGTAATCTACAATTCAGGGATGCAATAGTGACCTGGATTAAGAAGAAGATCGGTCCTGGGATCTACAATATAACCGCCGTGGATGACGGCGAACGCATACTCACTTCCGAAAGCAAAGTTGTTTTGGGCTATGTGAACTCCCTTGTGGTGCGGTTTTTTGTATAGCTCATTATCTTTTCTTTGTGTAATTGTTTGGTACCAGAATAATGGAGGAACGTGTGCTAAAATAATCAGTTCTTGATGCATGTTTAAGCAGTAACTGCTGAGGGTTAAAAGGAAGACTAACTCAAATCATATAAGTTTTTAACTGATTAGATTTTTAGTTTTGTGGTTTGGTAACCCGGTGTGAATGTCCTGATTACCTAAGGGTGTTGAGAGTGACCAACTTGCGGCTGCTTCAAGAGGTGAAGATGATGTCAACTTCTATCAAACTGTGAATCCTGATGTGGCAAAGCTTTTCCACTTCGATCCTGAAGTGAAACGCCCAGCTTTGATTTTGCTGAAGAAGGAGGAACAGAAAATCAGCTATTTTGGTTAGTTTCTTCACAGCAGTTGTTTCACTGGGAAACCCCAAAGTTAACTTGTCTTGGCGTTAATCTTATGTTTACTTTCCTCATAATATGCAGATGGTGATTTTGTTAAATCAGCCATAGCTGACTTTGTTTTTGCCAACAAGCTTCCTCTGGTTAACATTTTTACCAGGGAAAGTGCCCCTTCAATTTTTGAAAGTCCAATCAAGAAACAGGTAAAACCACTTCATGTGTGCCTTTTCATGTTTAGGTCTTAGAGTCCAATACTTTGATAATTGTCTATTGGTGTTCTTGACTCAAAAAAATTTCTTTGCTCAGATCTTGTTGTTTGCCACATCAAACGACTCAAAGAAGATTCTTCCTGAATTTCAAGAAGCAGCCAAATCTTTTAAGGGAAAGGTAATTCAAAACTTAAAGTTATAAAAGTTTAAACTAATCCATTCGATTCCAAAGAAACAGTTGTAATGGATGGATGAACAACTATTATGAGATCCTGAAGATGAAAGAGAATGTGCAATTTTCCAGGTCGTCAGTTTATGGTTTTTTGTGTTTACTTGCAGCTTGTCTTTGTATATGTGGAGCTTGATAACGAGGACTATGGAAAACCTGTTGCTGATTATTTTGGTGTTACCGGGGATGGTCCAAAAGTAATCAACCTCTCCTAGTTTTTATTATCATGCTATTATTTTGGTGTGGTATCAGTATCGCTTTTATTGCTTTTGGTTTTATGTGATTTGAGTTGTTTCTATATAGGTTCTTGCGTACACAGGAAATGATGATGCTAAAAAGTATACCCTTGATGGGGAAGTGGCATTTGAAAAAATTAAGGTTGATCCAAACTCTTTCTCTATTTTCTCTTATGGACATGGGCATCTGCATCCTCATAGCTCACATTTTACACATTATTTCTCTGGTGAAGGATGGTTTAACATCCAGAAATTTCCTTTTGTCTCCCTTTTTTTGCTCCAATAAAAAAACATGGTAACTTTAGAAGCCCTTGCTTTCTCTAAGGACTTTTCTTTTATAATTTTCACTCAGGCATTTGCTGCGGATTTCTTGGAAGAAAAGCTTAAACCTTTCTATAAGTCAGATCCAATTCCTGAAACTGTAAGCTATTTTGCTTGTCTTTCAGAGTAATTCATCATCTTTGACTATTTGTGAACTTACTTGATTTGTTGTAAATGACACAGAATGATGGGGATGTGAAAATAGTAGTGGGGAATAATTTCGACGAAATTGTCCTGGATGAGTCCAAGGATGTCCTTCTTGAGGTATTATTTGAAGCCAAAATATAAAAATTTTGGACCTATGTAAATATGCGTAGTTCATAATTGTCCACTTCATTGTATATATTCTAGATCTACGCACCCTGGTGTGGACATTGCCAAGCTCTTGAGCCAACATACAATAAGCTTGCCAAACATCTACGAGGTATTGAGTCTATTGTTATAGCGAAGATGGATGGAACAACGAATGAGCACCCCAGGGCAAAAGTATGTTACGTGTTAAAATTTTATAATAATTTTTTTTTATTTTTCCGGTCAAGGAAAATTTTATGATCATAGGTCTGATCAATTTCTTATTTGTTTATTTCCGATAGTATTTTGATTGCCTAGTAGATGAGCACTTGGGACCTTAATCTATCATGAAAAAAACTGCATTGTTTAGTTGTACTATAGAATGAGAAACTTTATAACGGGAGGTGCTTCTCTTTTCACAGGCAGATGGATTTCCCACAATTCTCTTCTTCCCAGCAGGAAACAAGAGCTTTGATCCGGTGAGTTGTATTTTTTATCTTGTTTATGTTGTGATCTATATATTATATTAGAGTGATAGATCTAATCTACACAACTCATGGTTACTCGGTGTTGGCAGATAACTGTAGATACTGATCGTACCGTGGTAGCATTTTACAAATTCCTTAAGAAACACGCTTCAATACCTTTTAAGCTCCAAAAACCAGAATCAACTCCAAAAGCAGATGCTTCGGCCAGCAAAGAAAGCGTCGAGGGCACTACTTCAGATGTGAAAGATGAATTGTGAGTTTGAGTAAAAGCACAAATGGATTTTGATTAAAAGGACAAAATGGATCAAGATCCGTTTTACAAGTTTTGGGCTTTTGTATGTCACTGAGTTAAAAAAAGTTATAGAATTTTATATAAGTTATGTGCTTTCATGTGTCATCATTGCTTTTGAGTTAGGTAGAAGAGGAATAGTGATCCACATACATGCAAAGTTCTACATAGCTAGAGAGGAAAGTGATCACATACATGCAAAGTACTACATAGATAGGGAGAAGTCCCTTTTATGATCGGTGAACTTCCATAACCACCAGGAGGGTTAAAAGCATGTTGTATCAGCTTACAGGGTTGAACATTTTATATTTTGTTGACAACTCTCCTGAGGAAAAGCTAATAAAGAGGCTTCTGTTTCTTATATTCAACCCTTGTCCGCTACTCTTATGGTTTCTGTGTGGGGTTGTTTTGTTTCATTATCCCTTAACTAAGGGCAGCAGATAACAATCTATGGATGCGAAATAAAGGTAGTTTTTCTTTTAGTAGTACACTAAAAGTTATCCCAATGCTCTTTGCATCTTATGTTCATCGGTTACCAGAGCTATTTATTTATCCTTCCATGTCTGGTAGTTCAAATTTTTTTTTTTTTTTTTGCAAAAATCACTAGTGTTTTCTCCTTTTATCTCCCTTTTTCTTTTTTAAAAAAGTGAAAATACCAAAATTCTTCTTAAACTATTAAAAATTTCACTGAAATATGTTTTTTTTTTACTAAAAATTTTTCTTGAATTTTTAAAATGTGACAATTTTGTAGAGTTTTTTTTAACGTGTTTAGGCTTGCTGAGACTTGGAGAAGCTACTACATCATGTTCTACATCAGATTTTTTAATCTCTTTATATTGTTCTACCTTTAATCGTGTTCTTTCTTCTTCGTCAGAGGCAACCCCCTCTGTATCCTACCAATTAATCAAAACTTGCAAAACCCATGAATAATTTTTGGAAGAGGATCCAAGTAACAGGGTCATTGATCGGAGGCCGCTGTGGTTGATGTTGAGTTGCTAGAGGCAGTGGTCGATGCCCGGTCCGTCGTAGGATAGGCCTGAGGCCAACTCAAGAAAGAAGAATCACAACGGAGGCCTTGAGGTCCCAGCTATGTCGTCGTGATGGCGCCGTGACATTAGTTAGATGTTGACTGGAATTTTCAAACACAGTCCTAGTGTTTATTAAAAATTTATGAGTCTATTTTGTAACAAATCGAACACTCATGATACCAAAATTTAATAATCGAAATAGCGGCTTCCCAATGCACTTTATTTTCTTCAACTTGTAAAAAAATGGACACAGAAATTTCAACTGGAATTTCCTTTCTTCGCATATTAAATTTTTTAATTCTCAGCAGCCAACCCAACCCAAACCTCGCCTAATTTTCCGATGTCAAACACACCATGGGTTTTGGCCTTCTGATCAAAATAACTGGAAATTCTTATTATATACACACACACACACACATATATTATTAATGCAAAGGAATCTACTAGAGCTTCAAAAAGCTTCGGGATCACATCCGACATTTTTGACCAGCATTGATGCTTTCGTATTAACTTAGCAGCAGCTTCCCTTTAATATCATATTATAAAAGTGAAAACTAATAATATTTAATACTTTTTTTTTTTTGGTTTTAATTTCGATTATTCTGATGTGTATCTTTTATATAATCGATAAATGATACATAAAAAAATAAAAAATAAAAATTTTTATCAAAGATTTGATGTGAAATTAAAATATTTGTAAAATAAATTTTTTTAATATTTTATAAGCAAACTATAGTAGCTAATGTATTTTACCCACCTACAATTTTGCCCCACACCATCTTTACTCTTCCAACACAATGCATCCCCTAATTACGTGCAATTTTGAATCTTCTTCTTTCACTTCTACTCAAATAGAGAAATCTTACTCCGTTCATTTTTTTAAAAATAAAAATTATCTTCATTTAAAACAGTCAGAGTCCATGAATTTGTCGTCTATTACGAATTATTTAAATATTATCATAATCAATACACCTATATTATATAATTATTAAAAATCATTCCCGTCTTAAACGGGAGATCATGTTAAATAAATATGTCAACTTTAATTTACTTTCTTTATCTTGCATTAAACTTTAATTACATCACACATTTAATTCTCATAATTAGCCTTTGCTTCTTCATTAATACTCCCTTAATCTCTCTCCCTATATAAAACACCTTCATCATTCCAATCTTTTTAATCAAACACAAAATCCAAAAAGTTTGAAATCCCCCGGACAAAATCTTTTTAAATCATTTTAATCATCATCATCAATAATAGGCAGGCCCGCACCTGATATTTCCTCCGCCGTAGCTTTCTGGTGTTGGTGTTCAAGATCCAGTGTTTCGCTTCCGTATATTACTCTATACGCCACCTACGTGTCAAAATCAGATTGGACCTCCCCTTTTCCGTTACCTCGAATCCAGCCTCTTTTATTCCCTTTTTCATATTTTTCTATTCAGGTCTCTCCCTTTATCAAAACCGTCTTTTGTGTGTGTGTGTGTGTGTGTATATATATCTTCTCCAGATCCACTCTCCTTCTTTCCAATTTCGAATCTACTTCAAACTTCACGCGTTGCCTTGCAGAGAAGGAGAAGTCCACCGATGGCGAAATCCGGATTATTGTTGATATTCCTGGTGGTTCTCTTTGTGGAGTTCACGTTCGCGGTGAGTCCGTCACCGGCTCCTTCGCCAGATTTGGCGGCTGATTCCCCTCCACTGCCTGTTCCGGCACCGGATTCTGGATCTCCGTTGCATGCGCCGGCAGAATCGCCGGTGGAGCCAGTGTCGCCTCCAGCTCCCTCGATGAGGAGTCCCGCACCGGCGTCAGCACCAGCGAACTCCGATGCGCCGGAGCGTTCCCCGGTGCCTGTGCCTGTGCCATCGCCTGCGCCGAGTCCAAGCGAAGCGAGTGATGTAAACCACGAGAACGTATCGGCGAATGTAGATGATGGACAGAGCTCGGGTGACGGCGGGATGAGCGGGGGGAAGAAGGCGGGGATCGTGCTTGGAGTGGTGGTTGCAGCATGTTTGGTTGGGTTAGGAGGATTGGTGTACAAGAAGAGGAGGGATAACGTCAAGAGGACTCAATACGGGTATGCGGCAAGAAGGGAGCTACTGTGATTCCGATTCAGATTCTTTCATGGTTAATTATTATATTTTACTAGTTTTACTATGATTCATGATTTCTTTGCCGAGGAAAATGATGATGAGGGTCTTTTATTTTATTTTATTTTATAATTATATAGTTAATCTTCATGTCTTCTTCTTCTTCTTCTTTCTTCTTCTTCGTGTAGTTTTATTGCTTGTTAGTGATAGTCGATACTGTGTTGTTACTACTAGTGATTTTTCTTTAATAATTTTATCAATTCAATTGGGTTCGATTACATTAAAATTGAAATTTTAATTTTACATTACATTTAAATTTTTAACCGTTGGAAGAGTACAATGAGGATCTGTAGGGTAATATATAGCAGGCAGTCAGCGGAAGAAGAGTGGTATTCCCTGTTACTTTAATTTTTCTCCATTATTAGAACTTCATAAATGGAAGACACCCAATATCCGCCATATTAAAATCTCTAAACCATCTTGGCAATCATGGTTTTTGATTAAATTACATATTTTCTTGTTCAGGAAAACATAAAAAGAAAATGAATTCACTAAAAAAGGAAAAAAGAAAGACGATCCATTGTTGATTTTTCTTATCGTGTTTAATTTCAACTATAGTTGTTATTTATAGCTCAAGTTCATTACTTAATAAAAGTCTAAATTTAAAAATATATGAATTTATCAGTCAAACATAAATTAAAGGAAACTAACTCTTTTGAGGTTTTTTTTTTTTTTTTAATTGTACTAAGTTTTAGTTTAGTCACTGTGATTTTATTATATTAATATACTATTAAATTAATTTTTTTATTTTATTGAATGTCGATTATTATTAATTTATAATATATTTACAAAATTAAAAATAAATTTAATTAAAAGTTAACTCCACCACATTTTATGCCTGCTGGTTTTTGTGTAACCTCCTGTAAAAATCTATAATATCTCCTTGGCATATGAAGGTTTCCCAGTAATTTTCTAATACTTCGTACTAATTCAGTAATTTCTTAACATTATATAGCAATTTAAATTATTACACAAGATTACATGATTACTATACAAAATTATTATATTAATATTAAAATATTAAAAAAAATTACCTGATATATGACAGCTCTGAATAACGAGAGAGGAGAAGAAGACAAAAGGATCTCGCGACCTTTCATCCAAATTTTTATTTTTAACACAACATTTTTTTGTATTCCCTAGTATAAAAGTTTGGCAACTTATAACCTTTTCAATTGGGGGACACATTCTTTTTTTTTGTCAAGTTATATAAATTTTTATGTAAAGAGAAGTTTCAACTCATCCATAGTGCGGTACCATGTAATAATCTTTCATTTAGATCTGAGTTGTTAAGCTTTATGATTTCTATTTAAACGAAAAGTTATTAGAGTTTCACAAATGCGTAGAATGTATAGATTAATTTATTAAGTGATATATATATATATATATTTATTCTAACAATAACGTAATACAAATAATTTTTTAAATGAAGACAGAGATGGAAAAAAGAAGAAAAAAGAAAAACAGGCGGGGCTTGGTTTGCTTAATTGGAAGTTTTTATTGGGGTGGTTATTGGCTTAAATAACAAAGAAGGTCGGACACGTGAATCTCATATATGACAAAGATGTTACAACTCCACCCACGTTTTTGCACATGCACTACTTTCAAATTTCAAAGAGGTTGACTCCTCCATCCTAATCAACCTCTCCCTAGTTTATTAAATTGCCCAAATAGCTTTGAGGAAATCTTACCATCCTTGAAAAAATAATATTTCACTAAAGAATACTTTGATGTTAAATACAAACATATAGCAGGTTAAAATCCAAACAAATTAAAATTAATAATTGGAAACCTAATGATTATAAATAAGATCACCCAAAAAAAAAAAAATGAACTACAGAAACCGAATTATCACAAAGAGATGAAATGTAATAAGATCGAATTAGGCAGTCCACAGTAGAATTACGATTTACCCAAATTAAATTAGCAACTCTTGAATAATTTTGATTAGAACTAACGTACTATCCGTGCGTCGCACAAGATTCCAAGAGTCATCGGTAATATGAAACTGTATTTTGGAATTTTCGTGTTTCACACGTGAATTCTGATCTCTATGTTATTCTTGCGAAAACACGAAGTGCAAATGAGAAAATAGAGAGGGTTGGATGTGAACATCGGGATAAGGAAATTGTACCAAATGAGTTCCTGATAGTAAAAGGAACAGAGAAAGTGGGCTAGCTTGGTTTCTTCTAATTAGAGAGAGAATTTGAGAGGTGATCCACATGATATCTTCGTTCCTACCTGTAAAAAATAATTATTGACAGGACAAACAGACACACAATGCATGGAATAAAACGTTTGTTCTTCAAACAAGTTCTCCAACCACTAGCTAGGGAATGTGTAACTAAAGCAGTCAGAGGCCAATGAACCAAAGACTTTGCGAGTGTAAAGCCTTTTAACTTGGACCACATAAGACTATTTTGATCAGTTTTAAGTAGGTAAGGAAAAAAAATCATAAAGACCCTCTAGTCTCTAACCTCCCCAAAATGGTAAATTGGTAATGGCAACTTCTTATATCACCCACAAAAATATTTATAGGGGTCAAAAGTAAAATAATCTTAAAGAACAATATTGAAAATATAATACATAAAATTTGAATATGATTTGTATATCAATCTCGCCCCTCCCAAATTTAATTCTTTGGAAGTGGAAATTCAGGTCCAATGAATTGAGATGTGAACTGAATTTCAACCCCGAAGGAATTTAAAGTGGGGGCTGGGGATGAGATTAGAAGTTCTAATTCCATATGCTAAAGGCAATATGAAAATTAGATGTGAGACTTGAGACGAAGCTGAATAGGAATTAAACAACACACGGGCATTATCTCCCCTTTTGTGTATAATAAAACATATAAATTAGAAAAGAAAATTGAGAATAGTTCCTTTACAATTAAATAAAGGTCAAATTTCTGCTAACCTTGTAAAAAAAATGGAATGATCACAGGTTTTTTACAGGCACCTCAAGACTAAACCTAATGACAATCCACATGTCTATCCTTGGTGCATGGGTGTTGATCAGAAAGCATTGCATATTCCATATATCCAGTAAATTTTCTACACTAAAAAGTGGCCTTTTGATTTCAGCATCTCATAAAAGCAGACAGCAATTTAGAAGGAGATGAAATTGAAATAATTATTTGAGGCATCCAAGAGAATATCATGAAACATACAGGAGAATATCCAGGAAACTCTTGAACTTTTCATTTATGGAAGCATGGCAATGTTGCTAATAACATGAGGTTTTTATTTTGAAATTTTTGTTTTAAATATGCTGCTATTTTACCGTCAAATGCCTGTACCTGGGAGACTCCAATCTACAACATGACGAAAGTTGACCTCCCATGCAATGTTTTCTCTGCTCATCTTCCAACTAAAACTGCCTGATCTTACTCTTCTGCAGGAGGGTCCACCCAACGGCCATGATCTTTTATCAGTTGAATCAACGCATCAGTTGCGTGCTCCATTTCAATCCCACGCTTCACAACCGTCTGAAATGGAGTCAAACTTCCAGTCACCAAGATTTCCTCATACAAGAGAAATTCCAACCACATTTACTTATATAGACCACACAGGATCATCCAGGTAAATGATATGTCAACTTCTAATACATGCCAGAAAACTAGTTTTGGTTTTAAATCAAGTATATTGTTCTTGCTATAGGAATAGATCATTTCTCTTCAATATCAATTGCATAATAAATAATATCCAATAGTAGCTTGACTAGAAGATCAGGACCTTTGAAAGTCTTTTGCTGTTTATTTAGAGATGTTTTCACTTTGATTTAAATCTTCATGAAATAAAAACAAAATCTCAAAGTATGAGAGGCCGTACCTTCCCAACATAGAGGTCAATTTTTCCAGGAGCACCACCAACATACCCAAAATCTGCATCGGCCATCTCTCCTGGTCCATTGACAATGCAACCCATGATTGCAATCTGAAGGAATGAAAAGAAAAAGAATAAAGGAACCATATCAGTGCTTAGGTTATTCAGAAAAAAATTTTGCCATGACAGAGAGGACTAGGTAATTACTGAAACGCCAGGCAAGTGAGATGTCTTTTCTCTTATTTCGGCACTTATTTCTTGTAGGTCAAACAAAGTTCTGCCACAGGATGGGCAAGAGACATACTCCTGCAATGTGATTAGTTATAAATACAAGTAAATTATCACTTTTTGGAGTTGAGACAAATTTCCTTTATAGATGACTTTCATACCGTCTTTGTATTCCGCATTCTACAGCCTTGTAGTAAATTGAAAGAAGTATTCCTGAGGAAATCAAAATCCTGGTCCGGCGCTTCCAACAAGACACCATCTCCAAGTCCATCTACTAGAAGGGCTCCAGCATTTGTGCCAGCGCCAATGACTAAATCGTCCCTGCAAGTGGAAGAAAATATTATTAAGTTAAACCTGCTCGTACCTTGCATTCTACTTAACCAGTACTACGCTTTTGTGTTACCTGTGTATCCCCTTTGGAAACTGAATATGATGAATAACAGGAAAGTTCAGAGAATTATCAGCCAGATATTCAAATAACCTGCAGTCAACATAATGCTCAACTTATTAGCGAAAGAACAGATGAATCCCACAAGGAAAGAATGCTACAACTACATAACTGATTGCATGGAATGAAAATTCATCAATGAAGGACATGGTGGGGAGGAAAGAAGGTAAGGAGAACAAGAGAACCGAAATCAGCTTGGGATAAAATTTAATGGGAGTAAAAGCACAGTATATGTGGTATACATAGCATGAATGCCTGTTCTAGGACTCTGTTTTCTGCCTTGAATAAGCAAATCAAAATTGCATACTTTTCAATATAACTGAATTTCTGGTCATTGGCAGGCACATTCAGGGAGACAGAATGTGATCGAATATGGCCCTGGGACAAAGAGCCAGCCAAAATGTGCCTTGAATTTTCACTTCACTATGATTTGCAACTGGCAAGTGAATGAAGGCATTGACCTCAGACAAACTTCCTTGACAAGAAGCTATGAACTGCTATGCTGTTGCGCTCCAAATTAAATTTTATCACTGGGTTGTAAATTTGTATCTGCACCAATCTTACCTCCTAGCTGAATGCACTCTGCTAATTTTTTCTTCTGTAAAGGGTAGATCATGAAGAAGCATTATAGCATCAACATCTTTGAGGATTTCCAGCTCTTCATGGGATTCATCACCACGTACTGACACCACCATGCGTGAACCTGAAGGGAAATTAATTGTTCCGATATAGGCAGTAAAATTCAGCTATAAAAAAGAATAGCTTTGGGCGACGTAAGTTAAAGAAGAAATAAAACATAAGATAAAATAAGGAAAAACCAATTTTCAGACAAAGAAAAGATATGTAGAACGCCATGATTTACCTTCTGGCAAAAGCTTGTAAGCACCAGTTGATAATTCCTTAAGATTTACCAAAACCAAGGCATTCGGCAATGGCTTTGTTAGCTGCTCTGACAAAGGAGTTATAACCCCCATACTCACATCTATCAGTCTTTTGAGAGCCAGCCGCTAGTCACCATATAATGCATAGCAAAAGTTAGTTTTTCCAGGAATATTAGATGACCATTCCACACTAAAGTTGTCTAAATGTATAACAAGGTAAGCCTTGTGTATGCATGCGCGTGCATTGTCTGTGCGCGCGCGCGTGTGTGAGAGAGAGAGAGAGAATAAGGAATTCTTCCCTAAAGTATCAAAACAAATGAATGGGATCCTTACTGCATCATTGTCATCCACTGGGGGAAGCTCTCTCAATAATATTGAGTCCACTGTGGCCAGATCCTAAATCAATGCAATTAATTGGCTTAATAAAAGAGAAACATGAATTCCATGAAACAAAATCTTCTCCTAGTTCATGCATGCTAAGAAATGGAAGAAGAACAGACCTTAAATGGCATGCCAACAACAAGCTTTGCTGCAAGTGACTTGTACAGGAGTTCTGGTGCCTGCCAAGACAAAGGTGGGAAAGGATAATCAGTAATGAAGTTCTTCTTAGCTTCCATATCTTCCCATGGAAATCCAAAACCAAAAGGACAAAACAAAAAGCATAGCCACATATTTACTTTTAACTGATCCAGTGAAACTGACATAAGAACAGAGCCATCACGATGCAGGACACCCCTATAATCCACTTCCTCACCCTGTGTTTAAACAAAGAGCCAAGTTTCTGCTAAAATTTTCAGATAAAAGAGGATGGAGGCAATTTATACACCAGTATAAGAAGTTTAACCTCTTTCTGTAATGGCAGTTGACCAGACCGGCGCTGGAAATCAAAATAATGTCTGTGCTTTTCTTCAAATGGTGCCTGATGAGAAGAATTCAATTGACCAATCACTATTAGGTTCTAATCAACACTAACAAGGATCCTCAACAATTGTTAACAGATTGTAGGGTACTGTAGAATCCTACCACTCCTTTCTGAAGTTCAGCAGCTTTCATACCAAGGTTAGCCAATCGTCTGCAAGGATCTATCTCCTCCTCCGGTGGTTCTGTAAGAGAAACTCTAATTGTATCACCCAGACCATCCTGCATATCCAACATATAGTACAGCAAGATGGTCGTATTAAAATTCTTGCATACAATATCTCAAAGTCACTATTAAACTTTCGAGTAGAGAAACAGAAAAAAAATGACCATGGATAAATTGTCCACTGAATACCATCTCTTATCTACAGTACATGCATTTTCCAGTTCACGTTAACTTCTCAGTAAATGAGCATGCCAATCAACAAATTACATGTGTTTTGCCTCAAATGAGTATGTCCAGTACATCTCCTGTGGTTGCATACCTTATCATTGAACTATATATTGGTTGAATATCCGGTTAAGCTTATGAAAAAGTACCTGAAGAAGGGTCCCAATGCCAATTGCAGATTTCATACGTCCATCCTCACCCTCTCCAGCTTCAGTAACACCTAAATGTAAAGGATAATCCCAGCCTTGAACATACATTTCAGCCACAAGCAAACGGTACGCCTGGACCATGATAACTGGATTGCTTGCTTTCATTGAGAAGACAAAGTTATGGTAGTCCAACTTCCTGCATATCCTTGCAAACTCAAATGCAGATTCAACCTGTTTGAAAACAAGTAGGATATGCAACTCAAATTTGTAGGTAAACAAAAGAAGGTTAAAAGCTGTTTGTCAGCATCAGTGAAAATAAATGTTCACCATTCCTCTTGGAGAATCCCCATAGTAGCTCATTATACGGTCTGAAAGACTCCCATGATTAGTCCCGATTCTCATTGCTCTTCCATAGTTTTTACATTTCTCAACCAACGGGGTAAACACCTTGTATTGTTGAAAAAGGGTAGAAAAAGGTTAACTAGACCAACTTGATAAAGTAAAACAGATAAAGCAAAACAGATAAGTACATATATTGTTGCATGTTTAAAAGTGGATGGACGATCTGATTAAAGTCAACAGCAAATGGCACGTCTGGAAAAAGTTCTTAGTCCTATGTGTTTCTCATGTGTACAATTTACTAATGCAGCAAATTGCAACTTGTGCAGAACTTAAGTGGCCATAACTTAATGGTGGCACACAACAATGATGACAAAGAAGCAAGCATCAATGACTTAGTTGACAATACGGAAAATATATAGTTACTAACATATGGTTGCTTGACTCACTTTTAATATATTAAAAAAGGGAGAATCTTGTGATTTGGTTATCTGCTTATCCTATTTTCTCTCAAACAATTACTTTTCCTTGGTTACTCAAAAAAAAAACTTTCCTTTGAAAATTTCTGTCAAACAGAACCACTTGTTTCTGCAATATATGGGTAGATTCAAAGAGGAAAAATATAACCAAATCTGGTATGGTGCATTGCAGCATAATGCAAAGTTGTATTCCAAAAGTTTCAAAAAGAGGAAAGTCACCTGCTCAATATGTTCAAGTTCTTTCTGGTAATCCTCTTCTGTGTATTCTAGCTTCTCAAACTGTGCTCGTCTATCAGCTGCATGAATACTTTTGTAAGTCCAGAATATGTAACATAATGTATCTTATAACAAAATGTATGACTGATAACTCTACCAAAATTTCCTGGGTTGACTCGGATTTTGTCAAAGCATTCAGCAACCCGCAATGCCACTGAAGGGGCAAAATGAATATCTGCAACTAGAGGTATATTATAGCTGTACCAACAGAAAGATAGTTACATGGTTGAATTCTCATAAACTAGGAAGTCTCAATTTGAAAAACAAAAAGTTCAAATGCTGATACCAACTTTTTCTGGACAAGGGAGTTTTTTATTTCAAAACATGCATCAGCTTCTTTCCTCCCTTGAACAGTTATTCGCACAATATCTGCACCTTTATCTGCTATTTTCATCACCTGCCAGAATAGAAGTGGCTGACATTAAATTGCTGCTTTTTAAGAAAAATTATCAGAATTTTTCATATGTCTCGACAATAAACTTGGTAAAGATAATTGAATTTACGTTCCTGGAACAATTTATATTTATTGGAATAACTCATGCTTTGTATTCATATATATTATGAACCTTTTTTGGTGAGGCACCATTTGAATTATATCTTTCCATTTGACTTTGCAGGCGCTATGGTCAATCAACAAAGACTCCAACAATGTAAATATTTGCATGTGCAAATATAAAACTAAGTATCTGATGCCCAAAATTAAGTGTAGAGGACTTACTAAAATTTTCTAGGACTATATTTATACAAACATAATCATGCATATCTGATGTACAAAATTGAGTGTATAGGACTTACTCTCACTTTCACAGCATTACACTTATTGGATGAACAAAAGTTGGATACATACAGTTGCTTTAGACCTAGGCTATGTAAGATGAGTAACGTATTCACACTTTCACCACAAAATGCTTTAACAAAAGAAATGATAAAGAACCTGTTCAACGGTTGCATCTACGTCCTTTGTGTCTGTTGTAGTCATTGTTTGGATTCTTATAGGATGCTCACTGCCAAGAGCCACATTTCCAACCATCACTGTCCGCGTTTTCCTCCTGACAGTTTTGTGTAAGGATTCACAGTACTTTTGTCTAGGAACTACACGCAAACAATTAAAAAATATAAGCGTATAGAAGTGTGGAAGGCCACATTTCTTACCTTAATTATAAGGTTTATTCTGAAAAATAATAGGATATTGAATATCATACAACTGAATTAATGTAACAACAGACCCAAATCCTATTCCTTCTCCTCAAGTTTCTAAGCTGCCAAATTGAAATTAAAACACATATCTAAACAAAAGTTACGAACATGATCTAAATTATACCTAACAGCGGGCCCCCTTCTGACACAGGCTGAAGTTCAGCAATATCTGAGCTGGGATTTGAATTCCGAATAACTGAAATTCTTTTTCTTCCATATTGAACTCTCTTCAAATCACACACTCTCACAAAATCCATACTCTTAGCGAAACCTATGCTGGAGTCCCCACTCTTCAGGCCCGGAAAAGAAGTTGGCACAGTTGCCGTTGCCATTTTCACAAAGTACAAGCTCCTTCAAATTACCATGAAAACAAACAATTAAATATACATTTAATGTCTTCAACAAATATTTAGCTCCAAAACTGGATTTCATCTTCTTTACTAATAATAAAAATACAAGAACCGATAAGTGATTCTGCTGTTCTTTTGTCAACTTCCTTAACTTTCTAATCAACCAAACAGTATCATACCAATTTATTCATACCACACAAAAGAACTCGGTCAAACCTAGAAGCATCAAACAAAAGAAATTCACCTTGATAAGCGACCAAACAAACGAAATAATAAAATCAGTCAAGTAAACTTTGACATGCAATAAGTAGAGCAGAAAAACGACAAAGAAACTAGAGAGTTTAAGCAATCTCCTCACACGGTCAAATCCAAAAACGAAATCATTAAAATCACAACCACAACAACAGAACTTCCATAAAAAACCAGCCAAACAAAACAATCCCACTCAAAATCAGTCAAAGAAACTTTTTGCCATGCAATTAAACCACTAAAGAACCGCAAAACCAGAGTTTAAGCAATCGACTCAGTCAAATCAACTCCATACAAAGGAAAATGATCAAAATCACAATTACAACAGAGAAACTTATCACAACAACCGACCAAAAAAATCGAGTCAAAATCAGTCGAAGAAAACTCCGATGATAATTAGGCCACGAAAAAACACAGAAGCAGAGAGTGTAAGCGAATCTAAGCCTTCAGTTTTCTCCGAACTTACTGATTTAACTGTAGTTAATGGCTTGCGAGCTGAAAGACCGAGAAAACTGAAAATGAAACAGAAGAGTCTGGAGAATGGAGTTCGGTGGCGGGACCAGAACGAGAGCGATGTAAATTTTCCGAGCGAAATTGGATTTATAAACGGAAAAGAAAAGAAATGGATGAGGACAGATACATGCTCTGAGCATAAATGGTAATGGATGAACGGAGTTGCCTGCCTGCGTGTTTGTTTTGTCAACTTGCCCTTCGAGTTTCCAAATCTTACAATTCCACCCCGTATTTATTTAGTTATTACATTATTTTCGCTATTCATTTGTCCAATAAAATAAAATTTTAATTTTTTTTTTTAATAATATAACTCTTAAAAAAATATAATTTAATTTTAAAGGATATCAAAGCAAGAGTTGGTAAATTTCTAATTTATTCAAAAATAAAATGTAATTATAAAAAATAGATATAAAAAATATTAAGTTTGATTCAAAAAATTATAAGAGAGAATTTTTTCTTGGGTTGACACTTTTGTTGTAGATATTATTTAAAAAAATAAAAATGATAAGAGATAAATTTATAATTAAGGATTAATATATATAAATAAGGAAACTCTAGCTAAGTCTAGGTACATAATTTTTTTGACCAAATTACTCAATAATATCTAGATTTCTGATTATATAAATATATTTTTTTTTCTTTTTTGCAAAATTAATTTATTTGTATAATTATCAATCGAAATTCAAAAATAATAATCTACTGAAAAAAAACAAAGAGTTAATGTTGGGGCCTTGTAGATTTATGCGATAGTAGAAGGGCTTTACTGTAAATTTCTGCTTGACACGTGTACGAGTACGGTATAGGAATCTCTTGAATACCGTTTTACGATATTCGCTAGCAGGAAGAGGACTCACAACGACCTTTGTCCATTTTATTTCCCACATAAAATATTAACAAAAGAGAAAATACAGGCACGTGCCCACCACGCGTTTATTTTTATTTATTTTCGTCATATGATTATTTTATTTGCTATTTTTAAAATTTAAAATTTATGTTAATAGTGTGATACACATTATTTAAGTGTCTTTATTTTTAAATAATAATTAATAGGGAAAATATCATTAACTAAGCAAAGCGGGTATCACGTGTAATTTTTATAATCTTTTTTTATTAAATAGAATAGGTATTTAAAATGTTATATCTTATAATATAAATTTAAAAATATAATTAAATCATTTGGCATTTATTATAAATACCTGGAAAATTTATTATCAAGTTAAATTTCAATAATAAATTTTTAATAAAGTTAAAGTTATTTTCTAAATATTTATTCATACATGAAAATGAAAGCCAGTCTAGAAAATTTGTCTTCACATAAAAATAAACATACACGAGTATAATGCTACAGCTTTTAAATCACCTTTTCCACCGTCAGTCATGTAAAATTATGAGCCAAATATCTTGAAAGGGAGAAAAGTCAAAGCAAGAGACAGCTCATGAACTATTTCATAAGGTCCATGTGATAAAGACCAACTTCTAACTGGCAACGCTCTTTAACATCTTGCTCTCCAAGCCTGTTATATTCCTCTTGGGTGAATTTGAAAACATTCGTGGCATTCTTAACGGTCCTTCAACTAGATTCGGTTAAGTATATTACAGGCAATGAAGTGGAATATCTTCAGAAAGCTCAAGAACACAAAAAATCTGGTGGATAGAGATAAGATGGCACCTCAACCGTGATATTTCCACTTGGACAAGCAGGATTCTTTCTGGGTTTAAGTGAATCATCGGCTTCGTGAAAAGAATGAAGTGACATTTCGATCTATCTTCTTTAACTAGCTGCAGTTTCTTCTAGTAATGAATGTCTTTCCAGGATTGCAATAGTCTCTTCTCTTGCACTGGAATAAAAAATAAAAAGAAAGAAAAAGTTATCGCTTGCGGGATTTATAGTAGGTTTACTTGCAGGCTTTCATTATTTCAGAAGAAATGCAAGTAAAAGCTTTCCCCTCAAGGATTGTACAAAAATTTTCAATTCACTTGAAAAGGATCTGTCGGGTTCCCTAGGTTCAATACCATTAAGGGTTTTTGGGGAAAGCAAGCAAGGACTATTAAAGAGAACTTTTTGATCTTTGAACTGTTATGTTAAATTGTAGCATCAGTAAGGATTTTTTTTTGGGGTGAAAGCAGATAGCTGTCATATGTAATGAAATTGAAGCGAAAAGGACTCATAGGCTTTTATAGCAGATTTAGCAAGATTCGTTCTTCAGAAAATTATGTTCTTCATGAAACCAAAAAGGCCTAAACCATTACTAACGTACCTCCCATCCCTGACAATCTTGTATGTCCCTCTCCTGGTAAGATCCACAATTGTTGATCCTGCACGACCTGACGGAAGTATACCACCATCATAAATATAGGCACAGTGCTCCCAAAGGTTTTCAAAATCTTTTATGCAAACAGTACTTGGCTGGCCACTAAGGTTTGCACTTGTAAGGGCCAAAGCACTTCCTGAACCCCGTGAAATAATCCGGATGAAATCAGAGTCAGGCACTCGTACTCCTATACTATCCAATCCTAGGTTCAAGGACTTCTCAAGAATACTTGAAACACCTATAACATAACAAATAAACCACACAATATTCAGGATGGAAATGGTGAACGTGCAAATCATATTTAGTCAAGAATTCACATGCTAAACAGATAAGCAATTATTAAATCGTGGTATTACATGGAATAGACAGTGGAAGTGAATAAAAAGGCCAAGATATTTAAGCATAATATTTTCATTTCCAACAAAGAAAGAATTATGATCAACAAACCTCGCTCCAGGATGACAGTAACAGGTCCCGGAAGGAGAGAGTCAAGTAAACCATGAGGCAGATGATCTGTGACAGCAAACCGTTGTATGTTTGATACATCCCCAACGCATATGGCAAGAGGACTTGTAAGCCTGCGACCTTTTATCTCATAAATCCGGTTAACTGCTTCTAAAGAACTGCAGTTATGTTATCAGAAGAGCAAAAATTAATGCATCAACGATTATGCAAAAATTGATGACCAGAGGCCTGGTGAATATAGTGAAGATGTGCAATATCACTTTCTTTTTTCAATGCAATGATCAAAGGGTTGGACACACCTATATCTATTTCCTTGCAAACAGATATAACCAATACTTTAACTCCTGGAGAACTAAATGTCCAGTACATTTTCTGCAAATGTTTTTCCAATTACATAAGATTGAATTATTTGGTTCAAATGAAAATAGTTTGTAAAACCAAAAAGCCCTGTAAACCAAATCTCCTCAGTTAGTGATACTTTATACACAACAATATATGACTAAAAAAGAGATTTATCTTCAGTAAAAGATCATACAACAATTTGCTTTCATAACAAGCAATAATTTATCTTTCATAACAAGCAAGAATTTATTATCCGCCCAGTTTTGCCCTGCTCTCAGTTCTACTTTGACATGCCCTGCTCTTAATTTGTACTCAACTTGTGCCCTTATAGCAGAATCTTATAACCCAGCAACCATTTTAACTCCTCTGAATACCATGCAACTCTATAGCTGATCTCCAAGAATCAAAAACCTTTATCTTGTATATCTAGCCAGAAGAAGATGAATTTGTTGCTTCCTGGTGTTCCCTAACGTTGAAACAATGGTCTAAAACATTGTCTAATGCATATAGCCAACAACGAAATATTTCCATGGTTTACATACTCAAAAATCAAGATATAAGGTCACACTGCACAGGAACAGGACAACCAGAGGAAATAGTCAAGCATAACAAGCCAGTACGGCCTTAAATGTTACCATTACTGATTATTGCCTACAAACCTATTCATATTCACCTAGTCCTCTTCTAGCTATTTTACATTTCCAACATCCAATTACCAATGAAATAGAATCCTACACCATCATAGAACCAGATAAATAAAATCGTATAGAAAGCAATTCATAAAATGACATAACAAGAAAAAAGAAACTAAAGGGAAATCATAAAAATGGGATTGATACCAAGCATCACAAGCAAATCCATAAAGGGTATCTGTAGGCACTGCAATAACTTTCCCAGATTTAAGAGCTTCAATGGCCTCTTGGGCATAAGCACCGGTTGCAGGGCGAACTATCCCAAACTTACTTTCGACAACCGTTTCCATTTTCAAATGGCAAGCCATGTTCCTTCGAAACCCACATCTCAGTTTCCTCTTCTGGTGCCAAAATGACACAGATCCAAAATGGGTCACACCTAAAAACATCACAATACTCCTCCTAATAAGAACATATTGAATAAAGAAAAGAACAGAGACAAGAAGTGATGAACAAGCTGAAATGTAGAAAAGTTCTCAATAACACTCAATTCAGCCTAAACTCTAAAACAGGCAGTAATTAAGAAGTAATTATCCACCAACTTATCAGCAACCAAAAAAGAAAAAAAAAAAAGGCAATCTTCGTTCAGACACTAGCATAACTTGATGGGCAGCACCTAAGCCCAATAAACTTTCTCAATATAAAAAGTTTAAAACTCAACCAGCAAACTAAGGCTAGACTTAGCAACAAACAGGCATTAACTATTAATTACCCATCAATTTCTCAGCAACCAAACGAGCAAAAAAGAGAATCTTTGTTAAGAGACTAGCATAACTCGATCAAAAAAATCACCTTTAAGTGTAAGAGGAGCATGAGGAGGGAGCAGAAGCGGCAGCTTCTCAGCAATCGTCGTTGAGAGATTCATGGAGTCTGTTAGTACTTGTTCCGGACGATTCTAACTTTGACCGTTTATGCACCAAAATACCCTAGTCAGAGATCATATAACTAAATTACGAATTTACTATATTACCCTCGTAATAAGACAAAAGTTACCTTTTTTAAAAACAACTAGACTCTCAACGGCGCCAACTCCGTGCAGGGTTACTACTGTCCTTTAACGGATTTCTTTCAACTAGCTCCAGTTTGGGTTCGAGCAATGCACGATGCCGCGCAGAGTTTGTCGACTGAGAATCCCTTGAGCGACGTGAATTGCACCGGAAGTCCATCGACGACCGGTGACAGGTTACTTGGAAATAGCAAATATGCAAACATTGAATTTTGATTATACAAGTATTTTTTACCGGGTGAGTAGAGAGTTGAGCGCGTTTGGCGAGGACTGAATGCGTATGCGCTTCCTGTCCTTGGAACAGGCAGATCAATACGGCTGCTCCGTTGGTTTAGGGTTTTGAGTTGCAGCAGAGTAGCGTTGCTGAAGATTCTAAGGTAGAGGCCTGAGTTCGATGCAGGCTGGAGGAAGAAGAGAATATTTCTAAAGACGACGTCGTTGAGTAATGGTTTTTACTGTTCGTCTATTAAAAATAAGAGAATTAATTATATAATTATGTAAATTTAATTTAGATAAATTTGTTAATTTTTAATATAAGTTTATACATATTTTAATTTCATGCACGAAATATATAAAAATTTAAAACTAAAATAAATTATTAAAATAATAATTTGGAAACTAATAATTATCTACAAGTAATAAAAAAAAAAATCAAGCAATAATTTAGGACCCAACAAAAACTCGCCACGTCTACATTCTGACACAGCAGGAAAATGACAGGCCAATCACCAGTAGCCACGTAGTTCAATAGAATGCTGACAAATTTCTGAGTACCTCATCTCTGTGTCAAGTAATATGATCATATACCAGGACAAAGTATCATATATAAAAAGTTGTATTGGGCAAAAAAGATGACTACAAAATTTAAAAAATGAAAAATTTATTTTTACCTAGAATTAAATTCTCAAATTTAATTCAAAAAATAAAATATAAATAAATAAAATTATTATAACTAGAAAAACTTAAATGCACCACCACAATAGTACAGAGAGCAATTCACTCTTCATTCCTGTTTGTAGATACAAACCCAAATAAACTGTAGTCAATTGACAGTATAATATGTGTAAGAAAATCTCCATGGCAAGAGATCTGAAATTGAGAAGAACCCTAATAAAACCAAACAGGCATAATAAATTTGTTGGAAACCCTCTTTTATCAATCAGCTTATAACTCAAAAAGAAACCTTTTTAGACCCTATTGAAATTTATATATTATGATACACAAGCAGAAAAGATCATTGATTGACTGATCGGATTCATCTTAGTTTTGACTTCAACCAGATCAGACACAAGAAACCTATTTGGTTTGACTCAATTTCAGCTCCCATGGAAAGTTTCTGAACTTCCCTGTCCACTTTGCTGCTGATCATTGGGAGGTTGGGGTGGTGTCAATGTCCTCAATGGAGCTGCAGGTCTTGGGAATCGACCAGGTTGTGCCATCATTTGCAAATGCTGTGATCTAGCTTGCCATCTTCTCCTCCATCTTAGGATCTCGACGAGAATTGAGCTCCCGCTCATTGCAACACCAAATCCGGCAAATGTTGCGAGGAGAACTGAGAGAACTGCTTGCACGCCAACCTACACGAAGTACAGAAGTCCAAACATTTTATAGTAAAGTGAGAAGGTGATTTTTAATATATAAATGTAAGATATTGTACGATCTCCTATTCACTTAAGCAATTGAGATAATTGGCTACGATCATTTATTTAACATATTACGAAAGCCAAAACACAAATTCAGGAGTCGTGGATCAGTGGGACATTAACTATACGAAATATATTGGGTTCTTCGTTATCAACTTAAGCTCTGGTGTATTACTGATGGAATTTTGCTCACAACTATGCCTTTCGGAAGAAAAGTGGTATTGGAGTTCATCGCCTTTCCTCTCAACAAAGCATCATAGATACGGAAACGTTATATATCAAGCCCATTGCAAATCTAATCCTGGGACTTCCTGATAACCCTACAGATGGCAGTTCAACTTGGTCAAGAAAGAAAAGAATATTTGAATCAAGAACTACTTACCACAGAATAAAATATATGGGCGAAGAGAACCACCAGAGCAAATTGTATTGTCGCGTAAACCCAGACAAATCTTCTCCTCACTAGCATAGAAGTGCATCAAACCAAATCAGAGAGCCTTGAATGATGAAAAGAAAAAGAAAGGGCAGGAATTCATGTGTGGAATGATTCAATCCTGCAATATCATTAAACTTTTGAAGGCAGGATAGCGTTTCTTTTTTTAAACATTATCAGAACAATCTACACGGTCAACCCTGATACTTTTTATGTTCAAATGATTGATCATAATCGCACAGATTGCAGATTATATGTCCATGTGATTGTGAGTCGTGTGGCTAGGTCTCTAACCTAACAAACCATAATGGTTCAATCCAACAACCGATGGTTCTGAGGCATGCAGCATTTCTTCCGATAAATAAGTCCATAAACAAATAGTACAAAAGATATAAATTCAACCAAATTATTTAAATTTTATCAGGATCTTTGTCAGCCTACCCATGGTCGATGAGGTCATGGATGCCAGGAGACCCAGTACACAAGAAAATGGAAGAGATATAGCAATAGCACCAGTACCCATTCTGCCAACCTGCACATAAAAATATATATCACTGAAGGCTTTAAAGTAAATGTCAGAAAATTGTCAACGAAACCAAGCTTACCAGAAGCTGCTCAAGAAAACAAAAGTAGGCAAGCATGCTGACAATTACAAGCACCGGTACCTCCTGCCAAACCCTGATAAGATTTGCAATGACAATTAACTGATTATCAAAGCCATGTCAAGATGACATAAGAGAAGTGTAAGAGCAATTCGATCTCAGTTATCCTACCAACTTTATACAGGGTTCAATATCAGCTAAGGTCAAACCAGTTACGAACTCAGGAGTCAAGAAAAGACCCAATGAATAAATACTGTGTTATGTATATACCAGCTTCAAACAAAGATGTTTGAAAACGGTTCGAAACTAGACAACCACATAGACAACTAAGGCTTAATTGTAAGCTAAGTAAATGACTACAATGCTAAATTCTATAATTAATAATATATTACCAGAGTTCTCAGAAGAATCTGGAGTCAGAATGAAATTCAGATTAATTTGCTTGCTGTGAAATATACTGAAGATAAATCCTCTAAAAGCCAATTTAACCCATTACAAAAAATCTTTACAAATGAGATTTCACAGCAAAAAAAGAAAACCTTCCTCCAAAAATAAATAACTACATCTTATATGTCCTGCAAAGATGATCATCATGATAACAAAGCAAATCAAATAATTGCATACCTATATCCATTAAGATCTCCATGTAGAGCTCGAATACCGGCCATATTATGTGCAGTACTTTGGATTCTTAAGAGAGTCACGGGTAGGTTCTGAACCTCTTGTCGACACACATCACAGGTCTTGTTACCTTTGATAGTGAACCACTTTATAGCACAGTCTTTGTGGGCCAGAGCAAGTTCACCCTTACAGCTGCACTCCATCTTTAATGTTTCGCCTCCTTCACACAGTTCAACCAAACATATTCGACAAACAGCCTCCTCTTCAGGAATGTCTTCACCATCAGCATTGCTGTCTTCTGTTTATTCAAGATACAGTAAGATGCTAGATAATAATAGAACTTTGAGGTTAAATACAGAGAACAAAAAGCATACTGGACAGAGGGCTTGGAGAAAGTAGTTGAGCAAATACTTTGAAACTAAAAACACATTCATGTCAGGTATATGGATACCAAATGTCTGCATGTGATGAAAACAGGATATGCGTCGAAATGACAACTGATAGCACGAATCTTCTAGGAAAATTTGTGTGAGAGGAGCTTGAATAGAATGATTCAAAATTTCGAAATGACTGGGAAGAATGTAAACTTCAGTCACCAGCTAAGCATACATGAATTTAGTCTATAAGACTAATAGTTACCATACAACCTCATGAGGCAAAGAAGCCCACCAACGTTTAAAGAAACAATAAAAAGAAAAATTGAATTCAATGAATTTCTGAAACATGCACAATTGCAAATCTGATAAGCTAGTAAAAGAAAACGAAATTACCAGGGTCAGCAATTGGAGATGCAGTTGACAAGTCATCCCCTTCCCTTACTCGGGGTGTTGAAGGAATAACTCGGAAAAATGAATCCATTCTCCTTATGCTTCCGTCCTTGTTGTTTGCGGGTACTGAAAGAGAACGAGATATATGGCAATGGGATTCCGTACTCTGCAAAATGTAATCAAAGATTTATGAAGGAATCGGAGACAACATGAAAGGTGTCCAATCCCAAGGAAGTTACAATAAGGGATCTCTAGGTTTTCAGTGTTTAACATTGTAGCCTTTGGACTATGCAATACATGAAGGAATGTGTATTAATCTTCACGCTCTATGCAAAACACTATATAGATGCAACTTCCCATGTACAGAGCAGAATGAAAATAGAACTGGATTACCATAGAGGCAACCTTTTTGGCTTTATCATTCCCCGCCATAAGTTATTAGTCTATCAAATACTTCGATTTGGCATCCGTACAACAACAAGGAAAAACAACTTACACTTGAAGTCTGTAAGCTACCAACACTTTCACCACATGTAGGCATGGAGTTTGCATGTGTAATCGAAGTTACAGGCAGTGACGATGTTCTCTTTATCTTAGGAGTAAATATCTTTGTGAGCGACAATGACCTTGATATTGAAGCCTTTTCTCGTAGAAGGGGAGGTGAAGCTTCTGGAGCTACATTGGGCGTCTTCTCGACATCTGAATTATAACTTCGATATTTGAAGCTTACTTTTGTTAATAAAGTCTTTAAGGACGATTTGCTTCTAGATGATGAAGGGCCAGGGGACCCAGCAGTTCTAACATCTGCAATATTCGGTGTCAAGAGAAAGTTCACTTTTCTAGGATTCGGACTAGGAGTTGGAGGCATCTTTATCAAAACAGCATCCTCAGAGGTCTCTTCCAATGATCTTGAGGGTATTTGTAGAGAGAGATTATTTTTCTTCCAATGATGAGCATGGGTCTTTTCTTCAGTTATATTGAATTGGTCATCAGCCTTGAAAATTAGCAGTTAAGAAATGGAATCAATGAATGAATAATGCTGAATAAATTACATAAGGTACAGCCATGTAGTGTGTATATATATATATATATATATATATATTAAATAAAAACTTCTTTATTGATCCCAGAATTTAAGGTTCAAATCGCAGCGATCTTTGTCAAAACCTCTTGGAACCTAATGTTATATATTATGAAATTTATTAGAAATCCGTGATTTATTCTGGATGAAAATCAATAGCAATCCATGATTGAGCAAACTGGAAAAAGACATATTTTATTTATTTATTAAAGAAAAATACCCAAATGACAGTCATCTTTAATTGGAGACTAGGCCTAAGAAATCTAGCATTCAAACACTAGGATAACTCCCATGAACAAATAAAAAATTTAGAAGGTGAACATACATTTCTCTTCTAATTGATCCTGATAAGATTCTTTTACCACTTTAATTTCAAAACATTATGAACTAAGATAGATTCAAATCAAATGATAACTAATGGTAGAAAAAATTTCAAGAACACAAAAAAAAAAATAAAAAGTAAAGTGAAACAGAGACAGCATCAATAGCTAGAAATTCCATGAATCACAAAAACCCTTTTAAATTCACAAGGGATTTTGAATATATCAAACAGAGTGATTGGAGGAAAAAGCAATTGAGGATTACAACAACAATTAGGAGATGACCCAGAAAAGAAACCACCCAAATCTCATCAACTTTTTTTCACAAACAAGATCAACTGGACTGAATCCAGAAAAACAAAAAAGCAAAAACAGATTGCCAAATAAAAAAATCAACCAAAGGAAATCAAACAAAATTACTTTAAAAAAAAAATTACCTTAAGAGAAATAGCAACATGCTCCCCATCACTCCGCACCACAGGCTTCTCCTGTGCAGTACTCATCCTTACATACCACCAAAATCCACCGAACCGACAACCAAAAAGCCCTAAACAAATCAAAACAACCCCTTAAAAATATGACACCTGCCCTCCAACCCCCACCCAAAAAGCCTGATCCTGGGCTGAATAGAACTGAACAAAAGAAGGAAAAGAAAAAAGAAACAGAGAGAGATTGACGTTTGATACTTTACTAGTGTTCTTGGTAAGTGTGTGGGAGATGATTAATGAAGATGAAGAGGCGAGAGAAAAAAGAAATGGGAAGAGAAAATGAGTCAAATCAATGAGGAAGAAGGAGAAGAAGAAGAGTGGAGAAAAGCAAAAGCTTGAAATATATTCTCATTAATGGCAAAAGGTGGCATTGGAAAAAAAAAAAAATGGCTTGATAGTTTTCTACTGCGGGGCGCGCGTACTGTGTGTTGTGCAAATTTGGTGTGTATAAAAGTGGTACTTGTTTGACGCATGTCATGAGTTGGGAATAAACTATTATATACCCCATTACTGGGTATGAGTATGACGAGATGATTCCGCGTTTTTTTATGGTTGCATATTCTCAACTCAACTATCGCGATAAATTCAAATAACTGTTTTTTGTCCATATGCAAATGAATGTATGTATGCATCCCGTTACACGAATTTTCTATTTTAGTAATTTTATTTATTTCAATTTGGAAAAAGTATTATTTCGCTACCGTATAGTTTAGGATTATCTTTAAAAATATATTTTTTAATAATTAAATAATCTATAAATACTAATTATAATATAATTTTTCAATAAAAATATATAATTAATTACTTATAATTATATGTAATCCGGAATCATGTGGGATAAAAAGAGAAAATTTAATAATGTACTGAAATTATGCTTGGTAGGTAAAAAGAGAGTAATTGGTGGCAAAATTATTGTTGATAAACATAAAATAATATTTAGCCCCACATAAATAATTATATATAATCATATTTAATTTTTTAAAATTTAAAATTATTGATGACAATTAAGACTTGACTCACTAAAATCTAAACTGTTACGGTACAACATACGTGTCGAGATGGTAATAGAGGTATTGATTATGTGACGAACCTAATTTATAAATGGTCTATAGAGGATCGTTTTTTACTACAATTCTCTTATGAAATTTTGTAATACTCACGTTTGATTATTTAATTATTATTATTTTTGTATAGAAAAGAAAAAAATTAATAAAATTAATTAAGGATTAGATTAATATTAAAGGGTAAGTATGTTAGACAATTAAATAAAATTTAAACCTTAGTTGAAATGGAGTTTTCAAGGTAGGTTGTAAGAGAAAAGGTGGGGGGGGGGCGGTTATTATCACGTGACGGTGAGTCAAAGGAATGCTGTGGGAGTGACATGTCAGAAGCCAAAGGTTAAAAGAAAAAGCTTTCTCATTCTTTAATCACATAAAGGTTGAATTAAATTTTATAATTATTTTAATTTAAAACATAATAAATTTATTTTGTTTATAAATATTTCAATTAAAAAATTTAACTTTTCAAAATGTTTTTTTTTTTTACCAAACAATACAATAAGTTTTGTTCCATTATGGGTATTAATTAAAAAAAAAATTAATCACATTAAAATATTGGTTTCGCTAAAATAATATGATGGGTTTGATTCTGTTTGTAGGCATTTCAATTTTTTTTTAAAAAAAAAACACCATTTTTAATTTTTTATTTAAAAACATAATATATAAAATAATAAATTTTATATATTTGTAAAGTTTATTTATTTAAATTTTTTACTTTTCGATTAAAAGCATGCACGAGACACATGTGAGAATTCTTTCCGTGGGGACTAAAAGCCATAAACATGAGTAGATAAAAAAGTAATTTAATAAAATATTTACAGTCATTGACGGGTAAGTGTGAAATCAAAATCAACTTTGTTTAATAATAATAAAATAATATAAATTAGTTAATAATAAGAAAAGCCACGGTAAAAAAAAATATATATATATATAATTAGTCATGCTTCCATTACTTTACAAAATTTTATTAATAAACATATATAATATAAAATAAAAAATATATATATAAAAAAACGAATTTAAAAATTAATTATTTCGATAATTATAGTTTATCGATAACTTGAAAAAGAAAATGACAACACGTTACTACTTACTACTGTTCAGTGCTGTGTGTTTGGAGGCACGGGGTTTTGTGCTGTCATAATCTATGAATTTTATTATTTTTAAAAATAAATAAAAGTATATAAAAACAAAGACAAAAAAATAAAAAGTATGGATTAATTTTTATTTTTTTATTTTTTTTAAGAAAAAATAAAATACTCGAACAGACGGGGAGGAGCAAAAGGTTGTGGATCTCATTTTCTCGTGAGAAAATGGAAACAAGGAGGTGAGTGCACTGGGGTTCTGTGCCTCCGCCGGTGAGATTAGCTTGGGAACGATTAAATTTGGAAACAACTAATCTTGTCAATTAGGCAACCAAGAACCCGCCTCTTTTAATTTGAGTTTTAAAGCATTAAGTCATCGTAGCTTTCCTATTTGATTTTGCACTTTATATGTTTATTATTTTGAGGTATACATTTAAGTATTCTATATGTTACTAAAAAAAATTCTAAAATTTATTAAACTTTTTAAATATATATCAATAGTTATATGTACACACAATTTTTATATGAATAAGTAAGATATTAAATAACTTATAAATAAATTCAAATACATAGTCTCTATATAATAATAAGAGTCGTATAAATTAAAATTTATTAATCACAATAATTTATTTTAATATTTATAATAAAATTGTTATCTTGTATAAATAAATACAAATATTAATAAAGTAAACTAATATTAACTAGAAATGCTAGTATATCTCAACATGGTGATCCTTAAGTTTGGATATACGTACACACACACACACACACACACACACATATATATATATCTATATATAAAAGAAGTGGTAAAAAAGTAATGGGTACTTTTCTATTTTTGCTATATGCCCCACATGAACAAAATTGCTTGAAATGCTCAAAAGAACAAAATTTTTAGGTTTAAGAGTTTGGTAGAGAATGAAAATATGCTAAATGCATTCAAGAAATCAATTGCTAACTACTCATTATAAATACTTTTCAAGCAAATTATTCTACTTAAATTAGTCTATTAAGTTTAGGTACAAGTCACCAATAGTTCATTGTGTCAAGGATGAGCCAAGTTGATTAATAACACTCAAGCACATATATATATATATATATGTATTCTAATTTCTATTGAATTATTCAATCTAATTCTTAATTATGTATATATATATATTTTTGAATTAAAAAAAAAAGCTTATGAGTCATAAAAGAAAGAGTATACTTAGTTTTAAATAGCATATGTTAAAAAAAGTTGAAATATTATTTGATCGTTAGTATTTTCATTTTCCATATAATTTACGTTTGCGTTTTAGTCTTAAAATATTTCATATATTTGTTAAAAAAATATTCGAATTCATCTATTTATATTAGTTATTAACAACATTATTAACATTTAATCCCACATGGTATTAAATTTGGACATAATATTAGCAATATAAAAGAAATATGGATGGGACATCCTTTATATACACATATATACATGTGTATGGATAAGTTGTAAAGAATAAAGATTTGGGAAAAGAAGAAATGTGACTAGCCTAAGATATTTC